AACGCAATCAAAAGACTAATTCCGACCCGTTTATATACATAGAACACATAACGTGAAGTAGCTAATCTTCATTCATATAGATTTTTATATACATATGTACGTGTAATGTTTACATTTGTAAATATTTTAATACACACGAATTTATAAAAGAGACCGAAATGACTTTATATCCTTTAAAAATAAACATTTACTTTCAATGCATTTAGATATGCTTTTCGCTAACATTAAGGAAACTGAGAGAAATTTCTTTAAGTTACGGATTATCATACAAAAACGTATTTGGGTACGGGTAAGGTAACGGCAAAAGCGTGTAACACTTGGGGTTTTTTTTTTGTGAACTGTTAAATGACTTTAGAAAAACAAGAACACAATTATTGCAGGGTTTCTTAACATTATCCCTCGAGCCCTAATCACTTGCTCCACTCTACTCTACAGAGTCGTTACGCTAGTGCATTCACGCTGAACTGATTATTATTTAAGTCTTTTTAGGTATTTCCGCAACTTCAACTGAAATCATGTTAAAAATGAAGAATAAATATGTGTATCATGAAAAGGATTTCAAAGAAATTATCTCATAAGCAGTAATGAAAGTCAAAGTACTGGTAGCAGGGCTCGTAGAAAAGAATGTATAGAAAAAGCTAATAGATACCCAAGACTGTTCCATAAATGATCATCGAATTTGTAAATTTTGAAATTTTTTTCATTTTCGTCCATTCATCGCATGTTTAAAGAAACTATAAACGCCAACCGATTTTCAACTATTTCAACGATGGTTTTACGAATGCCGCGCTAGTTTTACGATGTATTCTTCGAAAGCATGCTTCGAAAGAAATTCTTGACAAGTAAATTATATATGACTTGAGACGATTAAATCTTTAAACAATCGTCCCTTCTAGCTTATGTGTTCGATCTCCGATAAAGCTTTGAAGAATTTCTTTCACAAGCTTAACATATTCCATCTCTTCAGGGTGAATAATATGCGACATTTAATTGCCCCATAAAGTCATGATCATATATCGTTTTTCTAAAGAAAACAAAGTATTATATATATATGATGTTCGACATTATTCCTCCAACACTTTATTTGTGATATTAAATAATTGCAGGAACTGAAGACTGCATTCAAGTGCGCATTCGCGCGATCTAATTGACTTATTTAAATTTTAGTTTGAAATTTTTAAAAAAGCACCTCTCTCTCTCTCTCTTGCTCTCTCTTTCTCTGTCAATTTTACACTAACACATCATGATTTCAACCAAAAGACACACAAACATTAGATTAAGAATACACGTAGACTGGGTGGAAATTTTTCAACTTGTACATAAGGATGATAGCACTTGTCCATAAACATGTTTTGTCGTCTGTTGAATTAATTGATTTAGAGGTACATTCTTGCGTTGTGATCGTGTGTTCTTATGATATCTTTTTGTACGTTCTATCAATTTTCGAAGGAACTGAAGGAATACTCACAATAAAGTACTGCAATAAAATTAAGATTCCCAAGGCACGCAAATCGCAAACGAAGAAATTGTTTATGGATTGTGTACTCTCTATGATGTTGCTCAGAATACCGAAATGAGATAATTAATCGTACGTAGCGTGTCCCGTTTGTTCATAGTGGAATAAAAATCCCAATTGTAAAATTGCAAAAACGAAAGTTCGATTTGCTGCCCCGCCCACCACATTCGGTGAATGTAAGCGTTAGCGGCTAATAACTGTTGACAGATTTCTGAACGACGCTGCAGGAAAAAACATTTAGATGATGTGATGAGATCATTGCAAGATGAGAGGCGTACTTTGAGTTTCTTATCAAATCGTTCCACGAAATGTTAGAGAACTCAAAGTTTGCAAAAAAAAAAACAAATTCTCTTTCTTGCATGGATCGGCGACAACCCCACCAATGGAAAACTTCTTTTAAATGCAGATGAGAAAAGTTTGGGAAGTACTTAGCTATTAAATTTTCTATCAAATCAGAAAAAGTGTAGAGTTTCATGTCTTTCTTCAATTGAATTTTTAAATAAGGTTTCAATTTCGTTTTAATACAGTTTCTGTTTTCGTTTTTTTCTTTTAATAGCAGATAAAATTTCTTTTTGCTTCTGACGTGCGGAGATTATTGATATATGAAAATTTTTCCATCTCTTTCATGAAGAAGAAAGAAAGTCTATAACGATTAAAATGGTCTATTTATTTCAAGTTCAAGATAAGTAAATGTGAATGTGAAATTTGCGAAACCTATAAAGTGTTAATGTTAAGTGAAGTAGTAAAGAGAGACGACGTTGGCCTACAACGAATATTTTTATTTTCATTTTCCACTTTTCATTCTAAAAATATCGTTCGTAACCTTTGATATTAAATTTATATGTAGACGATGATGACGTAAACTATCAGATAAGCTTATAGTTAGGATGCACAACAATTCAATGTTCTTTCATCCGTAGTCGTTCAATGATACCAATACTTTTGAAGACTTTTATTACCTGCATGACGAGAAATGCTGAGGTCTTACTTGGTATTTGGAGTTACCAGACACAAATTTTTAACTGTCAATATAATCCTTAACAATGTTCTTATAAATGGAGTTCAGAACGGCATCAGACGTCTTTTGGGCGCTATCACTATTAGGACACTTTAAATATATTGGGAATCCTTAATAGTTTTATTTGTAGGATGAACGTATTCCTATGATTTATACTGGGATGCTATTCAATATGCATTTCTTAGAAAAGAGGAAGTATTGAGGGAGTATCTCATCAATATCATCTCATCATCATATTTTCCTCTCTTTTACTCGTACTTTTCGATATGAAATTTTCAAAGAGGGAACAACTTTTTGCTGATAATCTATTTTATTAGCGTCGCATAGGAGTTGAGTTCACCTGGCATTTTTATTTAAAAATATTTCAACATATTTCTCATATCTGCTAGCGAGCGATTTACATAAATAAGAAAATATAAGGAAGGAAGGGAAAAATGGACAGACTAAACGTATTTTCAATTATTTAACACAGATTTAACTAACTTAAATTTACGATAAAAAAAAGGTTTGGGCCATGCCCTATTTTCGTTTACAAGTCCTTTGGTTTTTCAAGTTTTTTTCTCTTTTATTTCTTTCATCATTTATTCGGGAATCACTTTGCAATAGCTTGAGCGGGGAAGAGAGCGGAAATAGGTTGTGTGTACGGTTGCTTGATTTGATAATCAAAACATCTAGAACGACGAGAAAGACTTTCGTAAGTTAAGTGAAGCTAGTAAATTATTCCAAAGTTGGGTAAAGCGGTGAGGTGTTATGCGATATACGGGCGATTTTGAAATGTGGCGATGGCAGTACTGAGCAACACTTTACCGAACACCCGCCTCATCAAATAGTTTACAACTGCTTCCATTTGCTTCCAAATTTTTTATATGATTTCTTGTCGGAGCTCGCATCTTCCGAGTAAATCGTTCCTGTAAAGCCACCGATTTAATTTCGTTATAATAGAACCGATAAGAGAATAGCTGAGTGGCTTGTGAGAAAGTATCGATTGACTTACACCGGAGCGCGAGGGATCAATAATATATCCCATCTGCAGACGAGATTCTTGACGATGATCAGCCATTCGACGAATACGCCACTTTCTTAAAAGTAATTAATTCATTAAATTTTCTCGGTTTGTGATCATTCTGGGGATAAATGAGAGAAATTCACTTGTGTATGTGTTGGCGAAAGAACCGAAAGATCGAAGGGAAGGTCGATTCGAGTTTGGACCATAATTATTGACAAATTGGATACTTTCTGACATATAAAATACGTTGTTTTGCGATATAGTTACTATTACAATTAAAGTTTCAAGGCCTATATAATGACACAACGTATTTTGTAAGATAGTACAAAAAATTTGATTTTCAAGTCTCTTCGAATCGGAAAATTTAAGAAATTATTTTAGCTAAACATATTGTTTTCTGTTTGGACGAAGAGTTTTCGTTGCCACTGTTCTAACCTATAATAACTATATATGGTATGCAATAACAAACAGTCTAGAGATAGTTATTTATGATGAGAGAGAATCTAACATTTTTAACTTTGAAAAATCTAATCAAAGCAAAATGTTTATCCATGACGTCACGCCATTGGATTACAAAGTTAAACACCCATATAAAAAGAGAAGCTAATATAGAAAACTGGGGATCATTGAAATGGATCGTCATATATATATATATATGTATATATGTATATATGTATATAAAATTGAAGGTCGCGCCGGCATAAATGCTCAAGCATTGAATTGACTCTGACTATACAGCTAACTCTCCATCATATTTGCCATATTTACTCTCTCTTCCTTTTAATACACTAACACGTAACAGTAAATGGTTCGCGATATATATATTTTTTTATTACATAGGCATGTTTGTTAAATAGTATTTGTTGTTAGTGGGTAGTAGCGTGGAGCTCGTAAGCAATTCAAAGCATTTTCGGTTGGTGTTTTTAATTTGTATTGATCAGTATCATAATCTAAACAACACAAAACGGACAAGAGTACATTAATAAATATTTCTTACGGTCGTCTTAACATTAAACAAGAAAAAAAAAAAAAAATTAAAAAAGAAAAAAAGAAAAAAAAGAAAACAAATAAATAAATAAATAAATGAATGAAGAAAAGTTCGCTTAAATGTATACTTGAAACAATTAATATAAATTTCTCTCTAACGTGGCAAAGAAATGAAAAAGCAAGAAAAAAAAAAAAAAAGAAAAAAATCCCAAGATTATTAAAGATATTTTTTCTTCAAGTTTATATCTAATTTCATATAACTGAGATAACAGATGAAATTCTCGATTAAGTTTATAGAATGTTAACCTATTTTAAATCAATTAAAACAGCAGCAACAACAAAAACGATATAGACTTTAAACTTTGAATTGGCGAATATTTACATATATGTATATATGTATATATAAATATATGTATATAAATATATATATATTTATTATATTATAAATATTTATATATATATATATATATATATATATATATATATTTATATACATATATATTGTTGATTCGAATATTGCTGTGTATTGGTGCAGAATTTAAGATGAATTTATTTACGCGCTTTCGTACACTACCTCTCTATGATATATATGTCAATAGTAAATGTGTTCTCGTATAATTTGTATGATTGTTTGTGTGCAGTGTGCGTGTATTTTAACAATTTCCGTTTGTTGTCTCTTTATATGTATATTAGTTAAATTAAACGTACGCATGGTGTCCGGTAACGGTGAAGTACATCATCAACAGCTTCCATTTAATTGGCTCATTATGAACGGACAGCAACAATACGAGCAGCGAGTTCAAAATTTTATTCCCAAAGCAATGAATTTCAAAATAAAAACTAAAAATTTCAATGTTCGTTTATGTAAAAGTTAAAAAGAAAAACAAACCTACGACTGGTTTCACTTAGCTACTGCTTCTGCTTGTTCTCTTCCCTTTCAAATCTATTATCAATTAACTTTAAATCATTATAAATACTTTATTAAAAAGCGATCAAGAAGATGTATACCGCTGGTAAATAAATAGAATTTTATTATTCTCCTCTCACCATAAATGCAATCACTTTTTGCGCCTCACCTCACCTAAATCCACTTTATACACAAATTATTTAACATATTTTTTACTTTAATTCTCTTCGCTTATTTTTATAAATAGATATAGATGATTTATCAAAAAATACCGGGAACTGCTTATTATTACATTAAAAAAAAAAAAAAAAAAAAAAAAAAAAAAATACTCTTAAGCCATATCTGAAAGAATATTTTACACGAATCTTACGAATTCGTTTTTAAAAACCCATTCCCGGTACTTTTTTCAAAGCATATATACACAAACACTTGAATATGTGTATCTACTGCATATATGGTTTTTAATATGCATGATAGGATTGAATTAATACTTAGATATACACTCGTACATTACTAATATGGTAGATAGATAATCGATCATAGTAGAATAACACGTCATTCATTTAAATAATAAGGTTTAGCTTTAACTGCAGACTATTTTTAAACCAGTGAAAGTGTTTGCTTTAATTCTGAATTAATGAATACTCGAGTAAACTTAGTAAGAGTTTTTTTAATTTATGTTCGCATAATTTAGCATAAAAAGAAATCAAATTGTGCTCGTCGTGTCATGAATATTCGATATCGATCGCCAATCAAGCAATGGCTTATGAGTACCTACCATTAATGGCGACCAATTTTTCTTTTGATATATTATGCAAACATACTTTGGCTACGTTAAGTGTAATGAGCTAGCTATTCCATATGAATTTGCATAATAAAATAAAACTCTTGTGATTCGTAGAGGATGTCTGCTATACGTGCAAGCACGATATTACTTAGTAAGACTTATATATATATATAGAGTAAGAAGGTTTCAGAAGGTGGCAGTGATACGTTATTTCAAAGGCCGTGATGACGATTAAAGAAAGAGGAGACGAAATAGTGTGTCGTACGATGTGGTGGCATGTTGATATAGTTTGCCATTTACCTCATTTGCTCTCAATGTTCAATGCCATTGTCCGCTTAGTTCTTTTTTTAAGAAGTTCAAAAAAGAAAGATACCGTTAGGAGTATCTAGTGGTTCAACTTAGACTGCGGTCGAGACTTTGATTGTTTTAAAAGGTCATTGCTATGATCAGCAAGGATCCGGCATCACATGTGGCTTTGTCTTACATTTCTAAACACTTTTCAAAAACATACATTTAAATAAATTTTTTCGGCGTTCTCGAAACCCGTTGCGACCGAGTCTGTTATACCTATCATCGTTATCCTATGAAAGATTCATCTCAGTTTACATGATGTCTTAGAGCGACTTGACTCATTTTCAATACCAATCTGTGTACATGAACTTCCAATGTTTCTGCCAAAGAGATATATACAGAAGCGGACAGACGGACACACATAAATCGATTCAGTATTTGATGCTCACCAAGAATATATATACTTTGTGGGGTCTCTAAATCTTCCTTCTGGGCGTTGCAAACGTTTCGACAAAATCGATATACCAGTCATATTTCAGTAACGAATAAGAAAATTGTACTCGGAGGAGACCGAATATCTTATAGCCATCACCGTTATTTGAAAAATGGAAAAAAGCAAAATTTTTAGATTCTATAACATTGAGTGCGTGATAAGCACGGAAAACGCGGAAAGCAAAGATGTACACAGTTTTTGTTGCATAAGACTTAACCGCTTCGGGTAATTTTCAAATCTTTTTGCAAATTCGTATGAGCTGGATAATGTTTACCACGGATACTGCACAGTTGGACAAGTGGACGGACGGTCATACTTAAGTCGATGCAGAATTTGATGTTGATCAAGAGTACATTTACTTCGCCGTATCCCTGAAATTCCATTCTAGGCGTTACGAACGTTTTGACGAAATGAATATACTTCTTTTCCTTCTGTGATGGGAGGATGAAAACACATCACGTTTTGGTTTAGAACACCTTGCACGTCAATGATTTCTTTCATTGCGTTTGGTTCAACTTTGAATTCCAATACAGCACCTTTAGGCCATATTAAATGTAAGCTATATATGTATATATACTGATGCTCGGGAGACGCTTAAAGTCAAGTATAACTAATAATTTTTTCTTGTCATGTCGCTGATATTTGCTGACAGAAAATCCAATTTTGGTCAATCCATCTCTGCTTAAGTAGATAAGAATCCTTAAATTCAAATTGACTCTACAATCAATCAAAGCTTAAGCAAATGAACCAATCTCAGACAAAAAATTTTCCAAATATGTCACTGATTCCGAAAGGAGAAAGCATAACCTATCTATCTGTCAGTAATAGTTTTATGCTTTTCGCAACAGTATAAGTTATCCGACTGAAGTATGCCATGAATGACTTCGATTTGGTCGGGCTCTCTGCAAAGAAAAAAATTTGGAAACGTTTTAGAAGCTTTCCTTTCCTGTTTAATCCAAAAAATAAATAGCCATGAAGCGTACTAGGCGAACCATTAGTATCAAAGCTAAACGAATACTCATAGTCCGCGGATGGCCCGCGACGTCAATTCAAAATCCGTACAAAAGATAGGAGAAGCGGTGACCTTTAATCATCCTTTCATGCATATATATCCTTGAAAGACAGTTTGCCTGCAAGCAGACATTTATGATCGTTATAAGCGCACGACGCATGATTGGTTACTTTCGGATCATTCAGTCCACATGTAGTTATGATAAGTGTTCGTGTAAGCTTCAAGATAAATATTTGCTACAAGTTATTGATTGCTACGAAATGTGGTGGTCTTCGTTTTTTCACCTATCGTTGACCCGATTGCTAATGAATTTAGAACACTTGCATGAGGTCTACGTCATTCTCTGTTGATTTTCATGTTGATACTGCAATGTTTGCCAGTTTGCGGACAATATACAAGCGTAACGTAACGTATATTCCCACCATGATGAAGAATACATATCTGAAGTACAAGGCACGATGCGCATTTTCGATCTTTTCAAATGACATGAGAAACCTTATATATCACCATCACCTAGTAGTGAATATAGAGAGACAATACACTCTCTTACAAGACTTTTGTACATATTCAAGTGCATGCCTCTACATAACTATGGAAAGACTTGTAAATGCATTGTGGTTTTAGTAATAAGAACTTATTTTCGAGACTATTAAAGTGCTGTCGGTTAAACCGAACAATTCAAGCAGCATTTAAGCATAAGCAAGTATATAACAAACAAATTTACTTAAAAGTTTTGACAAGAGATTGATTTTGTCATTTAAAAGTTTTGATTAATTTGTTCGTAAGTTTCAAACTGAAAATATTGTTATGGTTTCCCACTGTGATAGCAACTACGGACTTAAAGATTGGTTTAGTCGCACTTGAAATTCAATAATAAGTGAAACTGTGAGACTTGAAATTGCCCGGTCATGTTAATATGCTTCAATACTGCTAAAGTAAGAAAGCTGTGAAGAGATGGTTCATAATTGCAGCCTATCATTACTATTAGATCATCATCCATCCCATTAATAGGGAGATTTTTATAGAATTTTCCTCTTAGAATCTTTCAAAGCTAAAATAAACGAAACAATTTTTGTTATGAAAAATTCATTTTGCTTTACTTTTCGCAGTACTTTGTCATATATGATAACTGATGAGTTCACAGAACCATCTTTCATTTGTTCTTTATACCGATACAGTCAAAATTCACATACTTCCTACCAAAAAACTTTGAACACTGCCTCGAATGTTATGATCAAACAGGGTAAACTTCGACAGATCCGGCGAATGACTTATTATTAACCGTTCGAAGTTGTAACTCTCTTCATGCCATCATATCAACTACAGGACTTAATGTAATGTAATACTCATAGGTCTTCCACAGCCGATAACCACATTTTTATACCTATTACTGAGAAGTAGGTGTATGCTCATTTTCTCAAAACGTTTGCAACGCCTAGAAGGAAACTTCAGACACACCGCAAAGTATTCTTCTTGATCAGCACTAAATTCTGAATCGACTTAACCATGTCCGTCTATACATCTCTGTAATGCTTGTTGTAATATTCTTCTGGCCGCAAAAATGAAGCCATCATTTTGAAATTTGACAGACACAATACAAGCTCTTGCATATGAGTAGTGGATACTGAAAAATGATCCAAGTCGATCAAAGGACACGCCTACATCTCGTCAGTGTTAGTGGAGGAGGATGTCTCTGTTTTCGTAAAGAAAAAAAAATTTAGTTTTCCTGCACATCACTTCATACACTAGAACCCATACAATGATAAACGTTTCCACGTTTCTATAGGTAAAATGTCTTATGAGAATTCATCTGCTTTCCGCAGATGTTTTCAGATGAGATTGTCAACTGCATTCACTGTCTTGGAATGTTTGAGTTACAGTAAACATTGTCTTCATTTTCTTAATGATTACAACAAAAATTATTGATACTAAAAATCAGGGTCGAATTTAAATTTTTGGTCCAAAGAGTGGCTACGGATACACTGAAATTCCCAATCAGGAGAATATTTATCATCTAAACATGGCAGCAATCCAATAGATCGCAACAGAAGCAAAAACAAACCGAAGAAAACAGTCAGATTTCATTTACGTGACACCAATCCTTACTTCTAGGAAGGGGATTTATTTATGGTTCCACCGCAAGTTTTTAGTTTTCGTCGATAGTTAATTTTTGAAATGAATAAATAAAAGGCCTTGAAATGACTATAATCCCTTTTTCGCTATGTAGTGCAGTTTTCGAGATGCCAAGACCAATTCCTTGATCGATTAAGAATATAAGGTTGAAAGTTAGACACGGTTCATGCCCGCAATAGGAAAAGAAAATCGATAACTGTTTTATAACTTTATCTATAACTTTCAATTCCAGATCTTCGTCGAGATCACCTGAACCGATCAACGATCATCAGCCTGAAACAGGTCCTGATGGTCCCCGAATTTATTGCTCATTTATTCTAAAACACATTAGCACCTTTTCCATCCAATTGCGAATAAATTAAAACCTGCCGATGGATTTGGGCGGATAGTGGGTGTGTATGTGGGCAGATTGCAAACCCTTTTCCGGCATTGGATTCTCAATCGATTATCATGTATTTGTGGTAAATTTGATCTTCCTGCCTTCACTCATATGCAGAGGATCAAAATGATTCTCTAAGCACATGCAAAAGGTCGATAGTTTGGTTGTGTCAATAAAGCGAACAAATACATGGCAATATATTTACTTTAGTTCAATTTTTCCCTTTTTTTCTAAAGCCATGTTGTGCTTAAACCGTGAACCATAGAATTTTGTTTTGTCTTCACAAGAACATCACGGATTTCTCCGTCAACAGGCAACGCACGCAAAAACTTTAAAAGTTCGCCTAAAAATTTGCGTTCATTAGGCGCAATACGACATAAGCTGTTTGTCTTTTCAACTACATCTTTTGTGTTTTCTGCTTTAATCAGTCACTGACTGTTCCGACATTCACTTCAGGAACTTGACAGAGCAGTGCGGGAAGGGTAAAGTAATGTGTATGTCCTCTATAGGAATCATTTTAACAAATCATTATGAGTTTTTTTTTTAAATTTTTAGATTATTATTAAATGACCAAGTTTTGACAATTACACACATCCATTATTTGTTATTGTTATCCTATACCATAATTATTGACACTTGAGTAAATGCATTTGCTACGGTGAATGCACTCACAATTATGGATTGAATATTGAAATGCAGGCATTATTTAAATTCGATCTCACTATATACCGCGTAGATATACATAATATATTTGTACATACATTTGCACATACAAAAGCATGCACACGCATTATCAAAATCGCTGATAACTTAACTCACTTATCAAAAACATAAACACGTCAAAATGATTATACATATACCGTTAATAACTTTATGAAAGGTTATCTCTTGTATTGTTTTCTTTTTTTTCGTTTTTTCTTTCTGTTCTTTTCTTTTTTTTTTTTTTTTTTTTTTTTTTTTTGTAATTTCAGTACGCACACACGACTACGAATATCCGGAATCTGAAATGGATGATCGCGAAAGTTTATATTTTGATACCATTTCTTTGGCTGATTCGGAAGCAGCCGCTGCTGCGGCAGCTCATCGTAAATCTCTTTCGCAGTCACGCAACACCATCTATCATTCGGCTGTGGATTTAGCTGGCGAAGACACTCCTTCGCGACGAACAGGCAGTTTGCGTTTAGAAAATGGTCAGCGAGCGCGCACATCATGGAATACGAATTATCGACATTCGACACCGTTAGATCAGTACATAAGTCCGAATTGTCCAAATGCCGGCAGTGGAAATAATACGGATTATACGGATGCTGCTATAGCCGCCCAAGTGATGGCCTTACAAAATGGCCGGGCCAATTACAATGGCCTCAACATGGCTGGCACGATGATAGCGGGAGGAGCAACAGGTGTAGCAGGAGGACCCGGTCTGCCCGGCAATCACACGTCAATGCATATGGCCAACGATACGGAGGTCTCTAGACGTCTCTTACAAAGTAGCACAAATACTAGTAAAGATAAGAAATTGCCAATTACGTACTCCCAATGGAAATTTAGGGTAAACATTTATGCTAGAAATTTCCAAACGCTTTAATTTTATTTACAAAAAACAAAAACAAAAACAAATTTCCAATACTCAAAACCCTCTAAACACTGTGTTCTCATATATATATATTTTTTTTTTTTTTGTTTTCTATTTGATCTAATTTGATTTTTAATTTGGTTTTCCATTCGGTTATTCATTCGGTCTTCTTCTTTCACTTGTAATTCCTCCCTTCATTATTTTACTACGCATATGTATGTTATTCGTTCTATACATTTTTAATTGCGCACTTTAACTAATTTTCTGTGACTTCCCCCACCCCCACCCCTCTTCTGTTACTTTTTACCTGCTCCAATTGATTTCATTTGAATTAAGCTTTGCATAGCTTTTGGGAATGGGTAATGGCAATTTTTTTTTTCAATATTTTTTTTCAATTTTTTTTTTTACAATTTTTTTTAACAATTTTTTTTTTTCAACTTTTTTTTTTTTTGATTTATTAATTTTATATATGCAATTAGTTAAATGAAGCCTGCAAACATATATTTATAGCGTATAATTTGATTCGATTTAAATATGGAGAGGCATTGCATGATTTTTAAATTATTATGATAATGTAATCAATACTTGATGCTATCGATTCATTGAAAAAATTAAGCATCATTTTAAATATTTTAGAGATAAGATATATTGATTGATTGATCGAAAGATTTAATTATGATCTGAACATAGTACTTTTTATCAAGTTCCGTTCTCCGTAAACCGACTTTCAGCATAAGCCGAGAGTTGTCTTATAAGTGTGCTGATGCAACTCTTATCTGGTAATATGCTATGATTTACTTGGTGTAAATGCCCACAACCGATTAACTCATCAAAACCTTCACGTATTATTGCCTTCACTGGCTTTAACTTGCAAGCAAAAATTTCACTTATTCACTTATGGCAACGACTAGAAGAGGCTTTTAATTAGATATAGGCTTTGAAAATTCGAATCACTTTGAGTCTTATCTCAATGAATCTTTCATTGAGTCGTCGTATCGTCGCAACTAGATGCGATGCTTTAATAAAAGATGTTCGAGTTTGCTCCAAGAATGAATCGATTCCATTTCCGTCCTGTAATCTTTTTACTAAAGCAAAAAAGACAAAAATTAATCTCAAAGCAAAAGAAACAAAAAAGAAGGAAACGGCAATGGAAGGCCACAATGAAAAAATAGTTGGTTTAACATTCAGTTAGATGGAACTCGAGCTTAAAGTATCTTCTAAACACAGAACATTAGTTATAGTCTTCAAAAGTTTAGAAAGTTGAAAAGTTACAAATAGTTTTTTAACACAAATATAAGGCATCAGAAGAGTTCTATGTTGTTGTGAACACGGTAGGTACGTAACTTAACCAAGTAAGCGTATAAACGGAAACCGTGTCAAGCGATATTAAGACTTCATACGATAGAGAAACAAACTTTGCAATTATTTATGTCCTTACGTCCTCTAGAAGTGCTTATCCGGAGTATGTAAGTTTGTGCAAACGTACGTAACACCTAGAAGGGCTTAAGATAGATCCGGCTTTTATGCCGAACGATTCAAAATCATTTTCACGATCGACTTAAGCTTGTCTGTCCATCCGTCCATGTGATGTCTACCCATATAATTTTGAGTTCAACTTGCATGTCGCAATTTTTAAGATTATTTGGCGCCTCTGCTAGCGGAGAGGCGCTTCGCCAAAAACAAATGGTGGTTTTTTACTTATCCTTTTTCCATTTCTTATCATACTATGTGTTTTTTTCTAATTATTCTTCGAAACTAAAACAGAAATAATTGAAAGATGCCGAAATAGAATTTCGAATAACAGTTAAGTAGTAGCGATAAATTGCTTTGTATTACTTAACTGTGTAGCGTGCTTAACATTGATCATTTGATGTCAATCAAAATACGTACAAAGAATGGCAAAATGAGCAGAATTAGGTGAAGCGATTTTTTTTTATCGCAAATTCGCTATAGTTTGCTTGCTTGCCTCAAATCCCTTTAAATTTCTGATGAGTCGTAAGAATGGCTTCACGGGGTCCCAAAAGATTATTTTACTCTTTAATACTTAAGTACGCTCTTAATAACTCCCTCGTATATTACGATCCTATTGACTTTGCTTCCATTCCAATACAAGTGTCAAAATTACCCATCTTTAGCCTGTTACTGTGACTTCCCGTCTTAATAGTGCGGTTGTAGCAGCTCTCGTTTGACAGACCCGGATCATTTTTGTAGGAAATGTTAAATGATTTGTACTGGAAGTTGTGTTTTAATTATTTTCAAGGTAAAAATGCCATTTTAAATTTTAGTGCAACTAATCGGGAATCAGCAACTGAACTGCTCAGGGGCCTAGCAGAGAGAGATATGTTAAGTAGTATGTAATGATCTTTGTATTTTGTACTACTTTGCTGTATTACACTTTTCCTCCCGCTATTGTTTTCATTATAACTTGCAGTTACCTCATTGCATTTTAATTGGAGTTTCGCGGTAACCTTGCTGGGTCTTGAAATGTATATTTTTAGGTTAGCATAAGTCCGTTTATATCTCCCGCAATATTTGAAATATTGCTCGCAAGTTTACCAAAGTTTCAGTTTGCTCAAGTCATTTTTAGATCTAATGGAAATTAATATCTTGGGTAACGATTTCTATAGTCTAGAGTTAATTGATTTTGCGATAAATATTTTTAATAGCTACTAAGAAACTTTTAGTCCTAAACTGATAGCAGAACTATGAAAATGTAAACCTTAACGAACGACATAGTACTCATATACATATGTATGTATGCATTGCGCGAACGCAATATTTTTTCCATATTTTTCTTTTAAGTAATTTTACCTCTCCGCTGCCGTCAAGAAATTGAATTCAAAAACAGCCGCTGCCAATAATTAGGAAAAATTACTCTTCGATCAAGCCTAGGAAGCACTCGTTTTTTATGCAACTTACGTAAGATGCGAAGGTATAATTAACAGTTACATTGATTTGAAATTGCGATTATATTTCGCTTGTTACGGTGTAAGTGATTTAATGAATTTTGTGGTTCTATAACGCCTTCTATAAGAATTTGAGGTACTGTGCTTACGTCTTTCGTGGACTCGCAGGCATTAAAGCAGGCGGCACGTTAAAAGTTTTTTCATTGTGGCTATTTCGATTGCCGTACTCTCCTAAATGATCGTATCGAGGCTTCAATTTAATTGGATCGTTATCGTTGGTCCATAACTTTGAACTATGAACTACAGATACAAACGATATATTTTTCAATCTTTTGTATCTATAGTCTACACTAATTTCGGCAAATTAAGTTTATTCAGACGCATGTGAGCCTAAGATAGATCCACTCTTTATTTATACTGAATCGATCTGTTGATCTGTGCAACGTATTACCCTGAATCGATTTTCATCACTAACGTATCGCGGCCCTAGGACGAATACTCAAAATCATTATGTGGAACAAAAATGTGAGAAATTCGGATAATATGGGCTCTCTCCCTATAATCATTCCTAACAAATGTAAAGCTGTAGTTCGCAAAACAATCTAATTATTAAGATTTTATAATCAAAATTCATAAAGCAATTTGCCATAAAAAGGTGGACTGGATTAAATTTGAACCAAACGAATACATTTTTTGGACTAAATTCCATTTAAAGGTTTTCATTAATGCTAGACCCTCTGGCAAAAAAGTTTAATTTTTTCGCGTAATAACTAACCGTAGAGAGTTTGAATCACATTGGTCTATTTTTTAGACCCCTTCATGTAAAGGAATGCGCGTGGAAAGCAAGCAAGGCGACATACTCTAATTTGTAGTTTTTTCTGACGTAAACAACTGAGCAATAATAAAATCTTTGCGAAGTAAATCAAGCTTGGTTAATTTGGAACACGTCAGTGGACGGTTTCACCATCCTTTGGCATCTTTGAGGCCTTTCATGAGAAGTATGCCTTCACATACAAATAATGCATTATTTTTATGCTTTATTATCATGAAAATGAATGAAATAGGTGAAATGACCGCATTAGGTGAAGTTAAGTAGGACATTGACAGACGACCTTGCCCGATTATAATTATATTTATATTATATGAACCCGGAAAAATTGTGCTTATATAATACAAGCCGCGATGATTTCTTTGCCAGGCCCTTAATTATTCGTTTGCCAGAACGACTGTAGCGACTGCAAATTCATGCCTACAAATGTAAAATCGGCATATCGGCATATCGGCATATGAAAAAAAATGGGCAGACGCCTAAGAAGCTTTTAGCAAGAAAAACGAACGATGAAATTTAATTCAAGTACAATACAAGAAGAGAACTGAGAATTTCCAACACAAAATTATAGAAGTCTCAAGCGAAATGATCAATTTAATATGATCATCCATCCATCGATCGTTAATAAGCGTAAATATCTTCTTCATAGAATGGGGTTTAGTTTAAAGTCAATAAACTCAAAATTCTATACGAGCTTTTTTATACCGTCAGCATAATGAAAAAAACATTTTATTGCACACAAAACGCGAAGAGATGAGAAGAGTCGGGCAGTGAAGAAGAGAAGTTGATTCGATATAAAGCGATCTGTGGTAGAGAAGAAGAATGTGCTCCTTTCACTCTGTAATGAAATGCACACAACACACAATCGAGAGCCGGCATTGACATCTCTTTGTTGCGTGGAGAACGTGAAGCCGGAACAAACGAACTTGTTGAAGCTTGTTGAAATTAGTAGAAAGTCAGATGTTAAGCGTTCAAGTATATAACAAAAGTAATAAACATATTTAACAAAATTGCCTGAGGCAATTAATGATTTTGCATTTAAAGAGTTGCATGTAATTGAAAAATAATCGCAAGTGTGCTATACAGACACGCAAAGCAGCTAAATATGATTCACAAAGGAAATGTCATCCGATTTAATATTCTCGCTTCATATTATTATTATTGAGAAATTTTTCGAAAAATCGATTTTAGAAAAGCGATTTATTTATTAAGGCAATTATGGGAAATTGTTTAAGAAGCTTTTTTGATTTCCAATTAGTTTGCGTAGATAAGCCAGTAAGTTGCTATTATTGTTCTCGTTATCAGAGCTAGAAAACTTATAAAAAAAACAAAGAATTTTGTTATTGTAATTGCATCCGTGGTGCAAATGTGTCTTTTGCTCTTTTAGACAAGACGTCGTTTCCAAGATGGTGTACGAGGTGTTGATTTTGTGCTGGCCTTTAACGGCGACGATCATAAATTGGATAACATACGTAAACGTGAAATATTTGAAGCGAATTTGGAAAAAGAAGGCTTGCACTTGGAACGTGATAATACCCAACGAATACATTTCCTGAAAATACATGCACCCCGCGAAGTATTGTGTCGTTATGCTGAAATATTAAAAATCAAGTTACCCATGAAAAAGGTAACAAATACGATTAGCATTTAGGATAAATCAATTATTATTATTGTCATCATTTATTTAATTTATACTTTTAGATACCTGGCCAAGATCAAATTTATGTTGAGGAATATGAAATTGGTGACGGTATACGTAGATTATGCGGTAACCTATTTAAATCGATACAATTAAATCCGGAGATTTTTCCACCTAAACCGAAACGTATTCATTTTGAATTTCAACGTAACTATGAGCATTTGTAAGCCTCCACAGTCGAGCTACGATACCTTCAATATCAAACTCAGTTGGCATTTTCTACCGATTTCAGATTTGATTTTGATCAACCGAATTTCTTTGATGCGGGGACACGTATCTATATTATTAATTTTATATTGGAGAGACAACATTTCATTGAAGGCGAAGAAACACCCGATAATTTGGGCATTGAAAAGCTATTAGCAGATAATGTCTATGAAAGTGCTTATACGCTTCATGATGTAAGTTTCAATTAAAGAATGAAATCGCATTTTTTAAATTTTTTTTGCTCTTCCAGGATACCGATCGTGACATTTTATTAAATGAATGGGCCAATTTAAAGAAATGGAAACAGTAAGTATCCCACAATGTCAGATAATCTGAAAAGAATAAGTCCTTGTACCCGCAAGCTAGTGCCCACGCTTTGCAGAAAGCCATATTCCCCGATAAATAAACTGATTGCCCCCTTATAGTTCCAAAAAAAAGAAAAAAAAAAACTTGTCAACTGAAGGACAAGATCGCAGGACAAGAAGGACAATTGACAGATTTTAAGGCAAATCTCGTATAATCCAGACATTGTACTCTAAAACCATGTCTTCTTTAGGCCTTTACAAAGCTTTTCGACAGATTTCGCTTTTAATCTCAAAAACATGCAGCTATTAGCCAGTTAGTCTGATACTATTGTGATACTTCACAGCCACGTCACAAGATGCAAAGCAGTTATAAGCATTTCTCTTTTAACAATCATGTTTTTTGTAACGCAATTGAAATTGAAGGGTTTTTTGTGACCATTGTCTTGCAATACCAAATATGATACAAACGCGCAAAAACTATATTTTCGAGCTTTGGTTCAGACAGAAAATTTGTACGAATATTGCATTAAATGTGAATGTATGCAAAAATACTGCTGATGCCTTCCGAACACCTAAACGGACTACATATAGCTACTCATTTGGGAGAAATGTGGGCAATCGAGCTTGACCGGAAGCCTTCTCTATTGTCACGGCGAATGCGAGTTGAATTCGGAATTGCAGTCTTCAATTTCGAACGGCACGGACCTTTTGATATCATTGACCATTCCAATGATACCGTTCGAATTTCAAAAGCTGCAATTTCTCAACCACTATATATAACGACGTCTTAAGCCAGTTTTTTTACAATGTTGTAATTGTTTTAGCCTCTCAAAAATCATACATGTCAATATGATGAATATATATATATATATATATATATATATATATACATATACATATACATATAAATATACATGTACATATACAAGGGATTAGGCAAAGGGCTGACAACTTAATGGTTGCAGGTTCAAATCTCATGTACGGTAGCCGATATCCAGTAGATGCTAGTGCTTTAAGACTTTGATCTTACCATTTATCTTTTTGGCTAAAACAAATAATCTTAATAATAATAATAATAATAATAATAATAATAAAACGGAATTAAAGTAATTTCACATAACCTTCGTGATTCCCAAGCTTAACATGCAAAGCACGCAATAAATATTTATTCGTTTATTGCTCTTCAGTCTGCCTAAACTGAATTTGGGCAAGTGAGCTAACGAATAAAAGTGAGGATTATTAAAATTGGTCATAATCAGTCCAAAAACAGTAAACATCTATCGACATCTAGTAACAATTCATAGCACTTTTCAGCTAAAGCAAATATTTATGTACGAGTTTCACTACAATATGGAACGAATAGTTTCGCTGCTTTAATATGACACGTGTACAGTGCTTATGCATTTTTCATATATAGCTATTGGCTGAACGGTCACAGCTCCACACTGCATATGACTAATAGTGTGGGAATAAATGATCAATGTTAAAATTCAGAACAAAAGCGAATATATTCTCACGCGTATACAAAATGACAAATATTTTGTTGTATATATATATATATTATACATGACGCGTTTAGAGGGAGTGTAAATGTGACAGGGCGATGCTCAGCAAAAAGTAGGGACTGTTGTTTATGATATTTAATAAGAGTCATTGCTTAACGCCATAATTAACAATAGGTAAACACTTAACTAAGCTCGAAAAAAATCGCAAATTTCTTTCATAATTTCCTCAGAAATTTTGACGATAACATCCCATAGAGAAATTGGATTCAAAAATAACCGTTGTCAGTAATAGGCCAATAGTTAACAAAGAAAAAAAAAACTTTTCAATCGATTAAATTGAGCAAGCACCCGTTATCTGGATTACATTTCATTTGTGACGGTGTAAGGATTTAATGTGCTTTTATGACACCTCTGCCTTTCCCTCTCTCTCTCTCTCTCTCTCTCGTTTCGTGTCAAAGGAAAGCATGTGTTCATTGTGGCAGTTTCAGTCGCTAGGATAATCTCCGCTTTATTCTGGTAGTTTATCGAATCGAGATATCAATTTGATTAGATCGTCGCTTAATAACTACAAAGATCGGACATATTTTGCGGATTGTAACTTCCGACACAGATAGGTGGAATCTATGTTTATGCACTGCAAGTCGCCGCGACAAATGAGTTCTTTCTTGCTTTCGTTAGGGAAATAACGGTTCGACTAGCCTTCAAGGTCGAAAGTTTTAGAGAAAAATACGAACAAATTGTTGATGTTTTCGAAAGGTGTTTTATCCGCATTTTGACCGTGCCCGTGAACAGATAACGACCATTTGCACGAGCTCAAAACTCGTCCTCTTAATCGATCAAGGAATGTTTATGCTAAATTTCACCTCCCTATATTCATTTTCGCGACTACGACCAATTGACGGCTTTCCGTATATGCAGTGGTGAGAGGAGGCATTACTTTCGAATACCTATAAGACAAGGGGATCCTAGAAATGTTGTTTTTCGTGTCATTGCCAGAATTTTGCTTGAAAGAAATTGAATTTTTCACCAAAAAAAGAAAACAGTACTTAGTCCTAACCCCCTACCTGTTGCGATTAGCGTATGTTTCGGAAAAGCACGTTTCGCAAAAAACGTATACAATATTTCAGGTACCCGTAAATTGCTATAAGATTATGTGTGCGAAATCAATTTTTTGGACTCGCCATGCCTACATCATTTAGTCCTCTTTAAAGAAAGGAAATTGTTTTTCCACAAGATTTTCAATGGTTTCTTTCAAAATTTCGGACCCGATCGTTATCGTTTAATGAATGAATTCATTATTAATTTTAGACACTCGTTATCAATCGATTAATTTTATTTTCTGGTATTTAGCATACAGCCCCTGGATAGCATAAAAGAATATTTCGGAGCAAAAGTTGCTTTATATTTTGCTTGGCTAGGCTTTTACACGCACATGCTAATACCGGTCAGCGTAATCGGTATCTTATGTTTTATATATGGTTTTATCACATGGAATACTGATCCGATAAGGTAAGATTGGAAAATGCCTTTACATATAATTTATGCAGCAGATTTTCATTTTTGTGAAAAATCAATTTAGTCGAGAGATATGTGCTGAAAACAAGACGATACTAATGTGTCCTCAGTGTGATCGTAATTGTGATTTTTGGGAGCTACAAGAGACCTGTAAATCATCTAAAATGAATTATTTGATAGATAACAACGTGACTGTCGTCTTCGCATTGGTCATGTGTATATGGGGTAAGGAGTTTAATGTGTTTGTCTAAAAATTTAATTACATTTTTGGCACACACAAATCACAATTATTTATAGCTGTTTTATATTTGGAACTATGGAAACGTTATTCGGCTCGTTTGGTTCATCGATGGGGTCTAACCGGATATACGCAGGATGTTGAACATCCAAGACCTCAGTATTTGGCTAAATTGCGTAAGAATAAAAAATTGGCCAATAAATTGGATAATGCGCCAGCGAATAATGTTTTTGAACCGGAAGTGCCTTTTTGGACCACCAAGTTCCTGCCCAGTTTTACCAGTTATAGTATTATGCTTTTATTTGTAAGCAATATTTTAATTAAAATAATTTTTTTTTTTCTAATTATTGCTTCGATTTTGTTCATTAACTAGATTTGCATATCGTTAATAGCCATTTTTTCAATGATCGTTTATCGTATGGCTCAGAAGGCGTCTCACAGCATTCTAGGCAACGAGGATTCTATGACATATAAAATAATGGTTCTACCAATGACTGCCGGCATCATTGATTTAATTATTATTTCAATTTTGGATTACATGTACGCTTCACTGGCCATTAAACTTACTAACCTCGAGTACTGTCGCACACGTACCGAATACGATGAAAGCTTAACAATAAAGAATTATGTTTTTCAATTTGTAAACTACTATTCCTGCCTATTCTATATTGCCTTCCTTAAGGGTAAATTTGTCGGTTACCCGGCCAAATACAATCGAATTTTGGGCTTCCGCCAAGAAGAATGCAATCCTGGTGGCTGTCTAATGGAACTGTGCATGCAATTAGTTATAATTATGGTTGGTAAGCAGACGGTCAATGCGATTGTCGAAATGCTTATACCGTATCTAATGCGTAATATGCGTAAATTCGGTACGCATTGCGGCTTGCGTAAGCGCAACAGCGAAGAAAAACTGGTATCATGTAATCAATGGACGGAGGATTATCATTTGGAGGAGTGGACACATCATTCAATGTTTGCCGAATATTTAGAAATGGGTAAAATTCTTGTCTTGAAACTTACTTGAAACGACTTGCTTTGCTTCCTAACAAAAATTATTATTAAAATATTTAATTTATTTGCAGTTCTACAATTTGGCTTTATAACGCTATTCGGTTTGGCTTTCCCTTTGGCTCCTTTGCTCGCTTTAATAAATAACGTAGTTGAAGTACGCTTAGATGCTATCAAAATGTTAAAGCTTAGAAGAAGACCGATAGCGCAAAGGGCACGAAATATTGGTGTTTGGTTTAATATAATGGCTGTGGTTACGAAAATCGCGGTAACATCCTGTGTAAGTAATATGATCAAATCATATATATATAACATCAAGTGATGCGTAATGTCAAAAAACTATTTGAGAAACTTGAAAAACTTCGCTATTATGAAAATTGTTGGATTCGAGTTGAGTCGAGTTCGAAGAAGTAGAAACTGTTGCAGCGTTATTGCTCGGCCCTGTCGATGATTCGCAGTATCCGCGACATTTATCGTATAGCAGTAAATGCTGCTTACGTCGGTAGATAATACTATAGAAAAAAAAAATTTTCCTCAAACCCCATGTTTCTAAGAGAATTTTTAAGTGACATCGTTCACGATCTGTGCTAATCTATTATTAAAGGTGAGCAGGGAATGCTTCAAAGTTTGTTGCCATTTAATGGAGAAGAGAACAGCAACTTGGGATTTAAGTCTAAGTGAAAATGCTAAAGATTTTAACATATCTCGCTTTTATCGAACGCAGCACATTCCATACTTGTGCAGCAAACTCCAATCGAAAACAGGTCTAATTTTATCATGCAAGCAGCGTATTTACCATATTCAACATTCCGTCCATATCTCCAATCACCGAATTGCAAACTAAGAAAAAAGAATGTTCGCGCATAGCGTGGACACAAATTGTTTCAAAGACTAGATGTAAGTGCTTTAGGATTTGGAGAAATGGATTGTGTTTTGACATTTAAAATATTTGAATTAAATTTTTGTTTGCCTGTTACGCACAAAAAACGTATAAGTGTTTTTATTGACTTTATTCGACAGGCTATTATAATAGCGTTCTCGACTAATTTTATACCGAAGCTAGTCTACAAAGCTGCCACTAACGATAACTCATTGGAGGATTACTTAAATTTTACTCTGGCTTCGTTCAATACGAAAGACTTTCAAGTGCACCCCCTTTTAGTGGGCAGTCCTTATGCCAATGTTACTTCCTGCAGATATACTGAATTCCGAAATGCTCCATGGGAGGATCATCCTTATAAAAGACCTATGATTTATTGGAAAATATTGACAGCACGTTTGGCATTTATAGTAATATTTCAGGTAAGTTTGTGGAACCTCTTGAAAAGGCAAAGTTAATTTTTGCCTGCACTGGCGGAAAGTGTGTGTAAAATGTGAAAAAACGTTATATTCCCCCTTCAATAGCACATAATTGAAAAACGATTTTATCTTATCTGTCCATCTATCCCTTTACTGAAGTGCATTGTATTCGATAATCACTATAAACGCAGATATTTATCTGTGAAATAAATTAATAGTAGAACAATAGGTTTCTTTTTTAGGGCTCATTAGCTTTTGTTTATACATGACATGTGCATATTATTTCGCTACACTTTTTCTGGTTTCTTGTGCGGAGTAGAACAAGTTACCATATATATATGTATTTCTGTAAAGGCAAGTTTAGAGCACTAGTGCCGTTCCAATCGATCGGATGAGTAAACAGTTGTTGTGTGCTATAGCATATCCGAACGAACACGACGGCACAGAGCTAGGCCGGTGGGTGACTAGTTGGTGAGATAAATATTTGCGCATGTTCAACAGGTGGTGCAACATGCGACGCAATTCGTAAAGTAATTGCGTTATTGACAGTGAAGTTTGATGAGAGGCGTAATTTCGTGTTTGTTCTAGTTTTTAAGTAGGAAATATCAGTCAGGGGTATATTCCCTACTCGGTTAGAGAGAAGTGAAGAGCGAGAAACAGAGTGAGTGGGGTTATGCTCTTACCAGCTAACCACTGATTGCAAGTGCAACCAAACTAGACTCTACTGCATTGGAATTTGAACACGCGAACAATGACTCGTGCGTTAACATAGGCTTTAGAATACATTTTTTTTTAATTTATATAGTAATTAACATTTAGTTAAATTTTTTTTGTTTAATTTTTTTTTTTTTTTTGCTTTTAATAAATTTACAGAATATCATAGGCATGTTGCAGACGGCTTTAGCATGGGCTATACCCGATGTGTCTGCTAGACTACTGAAGCGAATTAAACGTGAAAATTTTTTGCTACGAGAGCATATTATCGAATATGAAAAGTGTGTAGCTCAAAAGCTTGCTGGTCAGCGGGTCATTGATAAGTCGCAAATGATAACTAATAATGTTTCGAAAGCCTTTAATACGATTGGTGGTGGTAATGGAACACATACGGAAACGATTTTGGAAGAAGATGAAAATATACAATTACGTAAGCGTAATGGCAACAGTATAGATGTGAATACCACATCAGTGTAATTTTATTTAAATAAGGAAATCGAGACTACAGAAAATGCAGACTTAAGCCACAAATATTTAAGCATTTTATTGGGAAAATTTAACAAAAAAAAACTGTTTTTTTTTTTTTTTTTTTTTAAAAAAGCTACATAACTAGGATAAGAATAAAGATTCACTGAAAACTGATTTAAAATATTGTTAAGGAAACGTTGTAAATCTCTTTTCAAGTTGATTTTCTTTTCTGAAAACCTAAGATATATCAAATATACTCCTATTTTCTAAAGATTCAGTACTTAAAGTACTAAAAAGTGAACATGAAACAAAAATAATTATTATACAAAATAAAGAATATATAATAATGATAATAATAATAATAATAATAACAGTAACAGTTTTACACTACAGCGAATATAATAATACTTTTGTAACACTAACTGCATGTTTCCTGCACATATCATTTCTTATGGCATCACTTAGGGGCAGAAATCGATCAGCTTCCGGTTGAGAAGTGATCGCAACTTAATCAAGCTACTACAAGCTCGCGATGCATACATATATCAATTTTCTATTTCCTTCATCGAACCAAAGCGTGCTTTAAATTCACATCACATCTAATCTCTCTGATCCCTTACTCTGATCGTGTTCGGGGCAAAATCGTTCCGCTGCCTATTTCTAAGCCAACCTTAACATGAGTTATATTACTACAAGCAAAAATATGTATATAGCTTTCGTTCACATTTTCCCATCGACATTAAATTATGCGTTATATAAATATATAATAAAAAAAAAAAAAAAGTTGGCTACAACTCCTATTAAAACTATGCTGTACGCGGTTATATCCAAATTCGATCTAACGTATGATTATTTATTTGCGACTGAGCGTATAGTAGAAAAAGAAATAAAAAAAAAAAAATCTGCTTTTTAAGTGTTACTATGAAAAATGCTATGTAAAGACGTGCTTTAAAACATATATTTGTATAAAATCACATTAATGCCTTCAAACAAACATCAATGCCGAGGTCAGCTTGTTGCGTCCATCTTTGTAATATATTTCCTATTTTTGCTTAGCTGAGCATAACTAAAATACAATAGTTAACAATTTTTAATATAAATTGAAACCAACAACAAAAACAAAACTTAATCAATAAAACAATTCTTAAGAGTACCTTGATAAAGAATCAATGAAATATTCAATAATATGTACATAACACGAAATTGAATACTTTTTTTTTTATTACATAATGAAAAACTGAAATGATTAATAATCATAATAATAATGAATGAATAAACCTGCTTTTATTTGATTAAAATAAAACTAATTTATAAAGAAGAAACATTTTCTTTTTTTAAATTAAAATTAAATAAAACTTAAAACAACAACAAAGCTGAAAAAACCAATATCCGTATTAGGATGAATTTTGAGCAAGCACTGCCTGAGATTTAAAAAAATATTTTCGAATTAGATTCAAACTCTGAAATGATTGCTGAAAAGTACGGAGGGACTGACACTAGTTTGGCGCAAATCAGTTATCTGACTATTATTATTAAACTGTAAGCGAATAAGTTGAGTATTACTTTTTCCTCCTTTTTCGTTTTGCAAATAAATTTTAATGTGGAAAGTGATTCGATTCAAATCGCCTTCAATAGCATTCGTTCTTCAGCGAAAACAAGTCGTTGTACCAAATTTCATCGAAATATCTCAAAAATTGGGCAAAAAAACAAAAAAAAAAAAAAAATCAAGACGGACAGACGGATAGACAAGTTTAGATCAATTTAGAAAATGAATGCATATAAAGAATGGACCTATCTCAACTTTTTCCGGCTGTCGCATACATCCTTCTACCATAAATGACGTATAATTTTAAAACAAAAAAAAAAAAAAAAACCAAATGACAAGCAGTTCGATAGATACGCGTTTTATGCTATAAAAGAAAGGCTGAGGCAATGAGTTTAATTAAGTTTGATTAAGTTTCAGGCGGTGGTCAACATAATCCTTATATACATATATATATATATAATAATATGAAGAAAGAAAACCGAAAAATAAATCGAATTGAATTAAATGAAATTAAATGAAAAAAAGAAAAAAAAAACTAAATAATGAGAAGATAGAATAAAATAAATTATTAAGTATTTGTTGATCTATTAATTTGCATTTAAAAATGAGTTGTTGATATTATATGAAACAGATTTAAAAAACAAAAAATGTTATAAAATATTTTTTTTAATTAAACTGATATTAACTTTTTTTATATTTTAAACTAAGTTAAAACTTAAGTGACGTGTGTCGGTGCATGTGAATGTAATGAATACTTTCCATAAATAAATATTAAATTTCTATGTAAAAATGGACACTTTATTTCCCTATTACCGACAAGGTCGAGATTCAGACGGGAATTCCTTTCAAGCAACTTACGGCATTCCGCCTTTCTAGTTTTACTACTTTTAATAGCCCTTTTTTTTTTTTTTTTTTTTTTTTTTTTGTTTTTAATGCAAATTTAATTGAGTGTTTCCTCCGTAATATGTATGCGGAGAATGTGTTTTTCTTTTTTTTTTTTTATTTATGGTCTATAAAACACTTTTAGCAAATTGGTTATTATACGTAAATGTAAATGACAATTGAATTGAAGTCAATGACTTGATATGTAAATACGTCTTCCTTACCGCATTTGAAAATATATTTCGTAATTGCACACCCAATTTATGTAATAGGCAGTCAACTAATTGATTTATTTACATAATTATAGATTGCAAGCCGAAACACGAGAAAATCTTTAGCACTTTACGTACTGTAAGCACAGTGTTTCATCAACTCATGTAACATCGTCAAAGGTAACAGAGGTAATGTTAGTTATAATAATTATATTTAAAATGTGAAATTTTTCACATGTCCGTTGCTATAGCCCTCCCGTAGTTGTTCAGCCACGTTGGGGCTTTAGCCGCACCTAATAAAAGCTAATTGAAATCTAGACTGACTGAAGGATCGATCTCTTTGTAAGTCAAATCGACGACTAAAAGCCATCACGTAAAGCGATAAATATTACGATGTTTTGGTTCTCTTTTTGTTTTGTAATTTTTCATAGCCAAGTCTGCGGCTTGTTTTTGAAAAGAAATATGCTATTCAAACAAGAAGAAAACTTTTGGATGCGTAAGAAGAGGATGTGTTAACAGAACGCCAGTGCCAAGACCGTTTTGCAAAAATTTCCTTCTACGAAATTTTGTTGTCGCAGATACACGTTCTGGAGAGCCATTTACGGCTGAAGTTGATGAAAGCAAAACAAGGGCATCAATTGATCCAAAGCGTCAAGATCGTTAAGAGATTTCGATTTATCAATTCCAACGTGATGATCACGGGAAAGCCAATCGTCTTCCATTTCCATAAACTACTTTAACTGAATATTTAGATGGCTCTATAAAATGCATATGTGGAAGTTAACATTTTTCAGATGAATCTTTAACCTAACCAACTGCGTTTATTGATTACATTGAAAATAAGATATGATATGACAGACGCATGTTTTGCTGGGCTGTCCATTCTTCCTTATACTATCTCTCTTAACCTCAATTCAATTCTTTTTCTTTGTTTCACTTTACCTTTATCCTTTTGTTATAAACTAAATCTGGAGAGATGGATCTATTAACGTTTTTGACATATTCAAGGCCAATGCCTAATATTAAATGGTTAGTTGATTGACACCATCGTGAAGTGTGACTTTGCAAGGTTTAGCATATATTAAAACATTAAGTTATTTTTCGATTTTTAAATAAATGAGCGATCAATTGCAGATTATCGAGATAACATTTTTAGACCTATCACCGAAGGACGATAGGTATATTCATTTTGTCAAAACGTTGGCAACGCCCAGAGGGGAGCATCAGGGACCTCACAAGGTATGTGTATTCTTGATCAACATCAAGTCTGTACATCTATGCATTGTCTGTTGTAAACATTCTTCTGGCCGCAAAAATGAAGCTAGCCGGTCAAATCGGTCGAAGGACGCACCCACGGCATCATGTAAACTGTGAGAGCACTTTTGTTTTACTCATAAACTACACCAGATAAATGTACAGAAACTTGAACGCATATTCGATGGGTGTAGCACCTGTAAAAAAATGAAAAAATTGACCACACCTTCCCAATATTATAGAGTGTCGAAATTTAATTTTTTCTTAATCCCTCCGTCGGGCGCAGAAGCAAACTTCATAAACTTCATAAATTATATAAATTCTTGGCCAGTTTCACAATTGAAATGCGCCTAAAAATGTCCGTCTATCTGTCTACGTAACAGAGTAGCATTTGTGTTAAACATTCTCACTTTAGCGAAAATGAAGATATTGCCTACGACGTCAACACGCCTATGCTAGAAAATCTTTTATTTTGCAAATAGAAAAAATCAGCCGCGCCCACTCCATATTAAAGAGCATGAAAATTTAGTTCTTTTAATCTTTTCATCGTTTTTAGGATAACGATGAAGGCTATAAAAGACTCGGACATGATTGAACATAATTTTCTTACTTATATATGTAGAAAATAGTGTTGCTAAGAGTCAAGGAACACTATAGAAACTTACGATCTACATGATCTACACGATGTAAGCGGTTGAAAAAAGTCAGTTAATATGAAAGCGCACTCTGCTTAGGTCAGCTCAGTGTTGAATTTTTGAAAGAATATCAGAAGCCTTTAATATTGACGAACAGATTAAACTCAATATGAAATGGAAGTGGAACACAGCGAGCTTATGCCATTTCTCCGTGCCTTAGATGATAATAATCGAATTGTGAGCGGAGAAAGAGGCAAAATTGTTTATAGTTTTGTAAAAAAAAACCAAGCGTTCAAAACTTGGTTCAAGTGCGACCATATATATTGCTGCCCACTTCAAAATCAAAGGCAGCAAAGGACCGTGTCCCATAATTTTCTTCAATTAATACCTTGCATCTGGCTTATTGTACGAGTTCATAGAACGTAACGAGACAATATAATCGCGGATTTTTTTTTCACAAAACAAAATTGCATTGTTTTTCAAAAAAATTGAAATAAAATTTTAGCTAATTACAGGTAATATTATTAAGTAAACATTTTTGTATTGTACTGAACGCGGTACTCGGCCTTTTCAAGTCAAAATAAAGTAATAAATAATTAAATGAATAAAACAATATAATTTAATTACTTAATGTTACTTAGATATTGCGGCCAATCAATATGGCCTACAGAATAGAGGCTAGAAGAGAACTGCAAAGACCATAAGTAACTGCTGTGTGTTCTTCCGATTAGCATTAGCTTCGGCGCGTCTCTGCATCTGTCCCTGGATTAAGATATCGGCCTAAAATTTTGTAAAAACATTGAAGCCTACCTCGTGATTTTTAAAAGCGATAAAAGCCGGTAAAAATCTCGTTGTATATTCTATTCTACAGCTTATACAAAAATAGAATATCGAAATATAATTTTTTTTTTTTTTTTTTTACACTTAAGTTGATGGTTATAAAAGGTTCGACCACAGCCGATCACATTTGTTTATATTTCCAATTAATTTAAGAGAATCGCATAAAAAAAAGAAAACACTGTGTGCGATCTCGGAAGTAATTCAAAGAATCATCTCGTTTTTCTTTTTAAACAACGGCAAAAAAATTAAAACAAAATCTGCAATAATTCAGTAAATGAGTTTGCATGCCAGCTTGTTTTTTTTTTTTTTTGTACCCATATCTATTCTCGTATAAACATCAGATTATAATATTTAAAGCACCTTCAGCAAAAGCAAATAAGTAAAAAAATAATAATAATAATAATGAAAACAAAACAAAACTACATGCAATAAAAAAAAACGTGACAATAGAAAATTTATTTTGTAAAAAAATCAACTGCCACCACAAGCTGAGCGAGGGAAAGACATAACTGCGTTTAAGAAGATTAGTTACATAGAAGACGTTTTACCGTTTAGAGAAATAGACACTAAATCGCGCTAACGGTAAACAAATACAAAACAATTAAGAACATTTGAGTGCGATTCTGAAGTGATAACAATTTATATACTAATCCTCTAATCACTGATGGATGACTCGAGAAAAATTTAAAAAAAAAATTTTTTAAATCTTCATTATTTTATTTAATTAATTTCTATCAAAAAATATGAGATTTTTTAAAGATTTAAATCAATCGGAAAAGTTGGAATTTTTCAATTCGTTCGATTTAGTTTTTTGCGATTGCGATGGTAAGAGGGGTGTCCGCGATTGTTTTTTGTAATTTTTGCAAATAATACAAAAAAAAATTTCAATTACGATTTGTTCGCTTATTAATAGGCGTTATATGGCAGAATTTACATGACGCTTTACCTGGTTCGGCGGACGCAGTTAACCATTTGATTAAACTGGGTAAAAAGATTGCCTTCGTTACAAACAACAGCTTGATACCGAGTGAACTACAATTGGAAAAATTTTCCAAAATTAACATCAATATTGAGAAGGTGAGTTAAAAAACGACCGCATCAAGCGTTGCATAGCGTTGCGTTACGTTACGTTGCGTTCCGTTGCGTTGCGTTGCGTTGTTCCTTTCAAGCAGTAATCCTCAAAAAATTATTTTGTAAAAATGTTTGTGTACAGCTTTTATGAATTATCGAAGGATGCTTGATAACAATAGCCAAGAATAGGCCAAAGAGACATATTCCAGCCAGCGATCATGTTCTATTTTCTGTTAATTATGATCGACACCGTAATCACTTCGAGCGTTCTTGATCTTGGATCTTGATCATGGTCCATGCGTCTCTTTTTAAGGAAATATCACATTTAGTTTGGATCCTGATTTCCATGAATTAGTGCAAAAGTGTATTCCATCGAATTAGATCGTGCAAATGGAAAATTGTATTCATTTTGTGGATCATACAAAAAAAAAACTCTGCATTGGAATTAAACGAAAATTGTAAAATAGTTTCGATCAAAGGCCGTTCAAAACTTTTTACAATTACAATGTTAATCCCTAGTAATTGCACTATAGTGTTTTCGTTCAACGACAACCAATGGGCTGCTGGATCAAAAATTGATATAGTCTTTTATAGAAAATGCTTCAACTAAGTATTTAAATCATAATTAAAAGATTAAACCAACGATGGCTTGATTTACTTATTATATATATTTGTATGGGTGTCCCAAAATTTACGCAAGATTTGAATTTGATGCCATCTGTGCAGTTAAGTGTTGGCAGACAACAGACCAAAAATATGGAAAGTTTGACGGCTGCGGTTCGCCAATTTCGTACAAAATATGGTCGGAATATTGATATAAAAGATCAATGTCATTTAACATCACCAGATTTCTTTTTAAGAACTTGTCTGAAGTTAAAGGTCTATTGCCAACAAGTCCATCAGCATTCGTGCATTGAAGGAGTAAAGTTAACGCCGCCTCAACGAAATTCAGCCTCATTTATAGAAAATGATCTGGAAAAATTCCTATAAAAGGGTGCGTATGTGCCAGTAAACCTATTCCACACAAAACCCTAACCTATACACATTACAACTGAGCAAAAAAATGACAATTAAAAATAATTCAAATCTTGCTTACATCTTGGGAAAATCTATAGATATACACATGTGTATTCCATGCAAGATCTTTTGCGATATTGCGATGTTAATTCCCGCATGCTCATCGATATACAATCCATAGTGAATGACAAAATGAAGTTACGTCGAAAATACATTTTTTTTTTTCAAAAAAATTGCAACTCTTTCATTTGAAGTTCTCTCTCGCTCTTTCCATGAAAGCTACAATTTAGGCGGACATGATTAGAATCTTTCACAGGTTCTAGAACCTTCCAGAACTTCTATATCGATAAGATACACTTTTTATTGAAATTCCATTCCAAGGTGAAAATAATTTTTCTCCAACTTAGACTTATTATCAAGTATATTTGAGTAGCAAAGCAAAACCGCAAAAAAAAAAACTAATAACAATATTTTTTTAATGCTATTAACTTAAATATGTATCTAAATATTGCTTCATACACTTTTTCTTCTCCTCTTGCAAAAGATCGACAAGACTAACGAGTGTATGCCCCTATAATGACACATGTGAAAAGATGATAAGCTTATCGTTTCATGAATATTTTTAGCTTAATTACTGTCTATATGAAAATAAAAGACATAATTAACTAATTGAAGGCGGCTGTCAAAAACAATGTTACTCTTATACAGGGAGCTGAACGAACCGTCAATATTAGCGGTGCTTGGACCACATTCAGATTATTTTCATTGGTAATTTATTAATGCAGAAAAACGCATTAACAGCAGAGCTTCTATTGTTTTATATAGAGAAAAAAACAACAGCTATGCTTACTCTCCCTAATATTTCCAGAGACAGTTTTATGCTTACAATCCCTTTCATGAGAGTGTAATTATTTGTGTACATTCTACTGAGTATATTGGACTTGTCGTTCCTTTTATGATATCTTGAAAAAGTCCCTGAATATACCGCCAATGCCATTTAATCGCCTGTGTGTTTGCCATGAAACTAACCTAGTCTAGTCTGCGTTTACGATAGGTGAAAGCCTATATCTTATAATTTATTGTATTTGTTAACTTGACAGTTGCAATAAACACCTTTGGGAATCGCTAAAATCACACTGAAAACTTCATTGAAAATGGTTTGAAATGGTTTGCCCGTAGGCCGGTAGAGTCGCCCACAGTAACTTACCGCCTACACGAGAGGTTAGACTAAAAGTCGCACCGCTTACGCTACAACTGTATATCAAGTTTGACGGACGTATGCAATGCCCAGAAGCACTTGTCATAGACCAATTTTTTATTATACCGAAAGTATCAGAATCGATCTTAGCTTGTCTTCTTGCGTTCAACTTATAGGCTGTAATTTTTGAAATATTTTGATGAAATTTGATATACTGATGTGTTTTGGCCCAAGGACGAACGTTATTGAAAATGATTTCGATCGGACCACTTTTTCAATTACTTCCCCTATAAAGCCTTGTTCTGAAAGGTCGATATACGGATAGCTTTAAAGCGATGTAGAGAAATTTTAAAAAGCTGTTCATTTTTAACGTAAGCTACCGCTTAGCCTAACAGATAAGAAATGTGACTGCCAAGTCGCCATACACAGGTTCAATTCCCATCGTGGTTATGGATCATACGATTTGCTTGTGGTTGCTGCGAATGCTCGATCGGTAAAGCCTCACTACAATCACATCCTAAGGCGTTTTAGTGTGCTTCGTGGGGGAAGCTTGATATAGATTTTTATCTTCTCTAAACTTTTTCGATTGTTCTCATTGCTCGTTGTTTCGAACCTCAAAATAATCAAATCTCAACTGCCTACGTACAACGAAAGCCAATAATATCACGCGGCCGGTGATCTGCGGAATTGAAAATTACGAATTTAATGGCCGGCAAAATCCCAAACGATGCTAATCATCCGACTTTAGATTCTAGAATTAAAATATAGATGAAAAAAGTTAGTTCAAGTAGCGCCACAATGAGTAAAATAAAAGATTAAACAAATCGAGGAGAGAGAGAGAGAGAGAGAGAGAGAGAGAGAGAGAGTGTGGCAGAGGGGCTTAGATAAAGAATAATGAGGAAAGCATGCAAATAACAATGCGAAGAACACTTTGCGAAATCAATAAAATGTTTTCTAATTCCATTTTAAATTTATTTATTTCTAGCATCATTTAATACATCCCGCCCAGTCTATAGCCGATTACTTGGAATCTCTAAAATTCAATGGTTTAATTTTATGTTTTGGTTCACCTGCATTTAAAGCTTATTTACAGGATCGCGGCTTTCAGCTAGTTCAAGGAGTACGATTTACCGGAACCCTATTATAAAAATTTATTAGAAATTATTTTCTCAATTATAGTGCGACGGCTTGGTGGGCAATTCCATAATAGAATTACGCAACGCAATTTACAGTACAGATGTAGTAAAAGCTGTAGTAATAGATGTGGAATTTAATTGCACAGCTTGGAAATTGATGAGAGCACAAATGCATTTAAAAGATCCGGAATGCTTATTCATAGCTGGCGCAGCAGATCCCAAAGTGCCTTTTGGTGGCCACGATTTTATAGGCAAGAATGTTTATGCGAAAAACAATGAGTCACGAAATATCATATCATACGCACTACTTTTTTAAGGTCCAGGAGCTTTCATACAAGTTCTAGAAGACGCCACGGAACGTAAATCGATAGTTTTGGGAAAACCTGGTTCTGGTCTAAGAGATATATTGCTACAGAAATTTAATATACAGCACAAAAATCGTGTTCTATTTATCGGTGATAGTCTGAAGAGCGATGTACAATTTGGAAAGATGTGTGGCTTTCAGACAATGTTAGTATTAACAGGTGCCACGAAACTACGGGATTTGGAGCAGTTCGCACACCAACACGAGGAGACTGGCCCAGATATCGTTGCAGAGTCTCTTAAAGATATAATTCATTTAGTTTGATTTCTTTTTGTATTTTTTTTTTTTTTTTTTTTTCTTTTTTAGTGATAATTTCATTTATTTAATTCTTTCATAAAATCAACAAAATCTTTCATACTATTTGCATAATAATCCGGTATAGCATTTCGATCACTTTCTCCTCTTAGCTCACTCATGGAGCAACCGCCGCTTAGAACTAAAAGAGTTTGAAAGCCAGATGTTTTACCGAAACGTATATCTTGCTCTAACATATCGCCGATCATAAGAACGCGTTCACGTTTTTCGATATTATAACGCTTCAGCAAAACATTGGCCAAGGCCTCGCTGGGCTTACCGAAAACTAACATTTCCCTTTTGGCTGCCTGCTCGAAAGCTTTTACAAACACCCCAGCACCCATTATGGTCATATCTTTGCTTATAGGCAAGGCAATATCAGTGGCGCCACCTATTAATAAACAATCACTTTGACGTGCATAATGAACCGCTTTCATCATTTTACATAACGATAAATTAAAATCAAAGTCAATGATTACTGCTTTAATGGGTTCTCTGTCCATAACATATTGCATTAGTTGAGAAAATGATTCATCTAATATAACATTTGGCTAAAAGTATAAATAATTATATAAATAATTAATTGTTGTTAATGTTATTAAATTATTTCGATAAATACAAACTCCATCTTTTAGCTGAAAACCTTCTTTTCTTAATACTGATTTGAACGCATCTGAGGCAATGATATATATTAAACCTTGGAAATTTATATTTTTCAAGTACTCGACGGTAGATTTTGCCGGATGCATTAGATGATTCTACAGATAATCGAAATTTAATGAAAAGAAAGTTAAGAACAACGTGCGCTACGTACAGCATCAATTTCTATGTTGTTGTTTCTTAATTTCTCCAAGCAAGCTTCTTCCGTTCGCACGCTATTATTAGTTATAAAAGTTATCTTTTTCCCCGCTTTACGTAGCTCAGCAAATCCGTCCCCGCTGCCTGCGATAATGGTCCTCGCATTCCAAACCACTCCTACCGTTTATAAATTATATAAATTTCCTTTTAGATTTATATATTAACCATCATAATAATGAATGAATCCCTTACCATCAATATCCGAGAAAACGTGATCGAATGATTCTAAAAATTTCACCTTCTCTTCGGAACTTAAATCTAAAATGTTACGAACGTGGATTGGCTATCGAAAATATAAAATTTTAACAATAAGTGAATAACATTAAGAAATTTAAAACGTTATTCAGTCGGACAGCGCCGACTTGCACATATCCTGCACAAATTTGATGCGATTTTTCAGTTACCGTCCTTTTCTCTTTAGTCGCGGAATAACAAAAATTATACGTTATTGCGAATTAAAAGATTATTACTCATATTTTCTTCCCTTTTTTTTTCTTTGTGACCACGTATTCAGGGAATGCCCCCTATAAGCGCAGGCAAGCGTTGGTAGTGCAGTAAAGATTGCGGGAAGATTGTCCTGGTCGATTGTTCTAAAAGACCGCGGTTAAAGAGTGACAATTCGTGGTAGTGTGTCGTGCGATATACAAGCTATTCCAGGACGAGTGAGTGGCAACGCTGAGAAGGCCTTAAGAAGACCTTGGATTCCTGAGTGGAAATTACTTCCTGCTTCCATAGGCTTCTAGGCTTACTCTTCGTGAAAATGAGATTGAAAAATAGGCTTACCTGGTCCATATTTCAGATACAAACTTATTGAGAATTAACTTTCAAAATAAAAAACAAAAAATTAGACTTTGTTACTATATCAAGGTTTATTTTTCGCAAGGCAGAGAAATCAACTAATAACCCCCTACCAGCTAAACTTTCAGCACTTATTCAGCATTCCAAATTACTCTTTTCCACTGATTTTTGATTGTGAACTCTATTATAAACTTTCTACATATAACCATTATTTTGATATGAGGCGTTAACGATTGTCAAACGGTCTGAATCAAATCAAGGAATCGTCATTTAACCAAAACTTAAAGAAGTGAAACCGGTATATTAAAGAATGAAATTTGCCGGACAATTTTGCGATGTCAGTGCTGTAAACGGAAACTAGTTCATTATGTAGTATCTAACAATTGACAACGAAGAAGGTTCATTGCAAATACAATCACAGATTTATTAAATTCCTTAAAGTCAGCAAGCTGGACTCACACATAAAAAGGGCGCATAATAATTAGTGGATGCTGCATAACACTGTCCTCCTGTCCCAATAATCGGAAATCTCTGAAACAAAAAACTGCAGAAAATCGCCTGAAAAATCGGGAATAATGTTCGTCGAGAAGGGTACTCTTGTTTAAAGAAAAAAATCTTTGCGTCTTTGCGAAATTTCGGCTTTCTTTGCGAGCAAATATGTAGATATATAGTAGGCATGCACACTAAAACAGTTCAGCTATTACGAATCATGTCACTGAAGGGATTGTTAATAGAGTTATCTGTAAGACGCTTGACGTGGAATTGAACAGATGAGCACATTTTTCGGTGGTAAGGAGATATAAGGTAAAGAAGAACAACATTCTCACTATTGGCAATATTCAGCGGAAGGCAAATTAATTTTTGCTTTTTTATTCCCACTTACTGTTGACATGACTTTTTGAAAATTTGTATCTTTCTCCAGATTTTGCACTGTATAAATTTATTTTAGCCGTTACAAACTCTAAAAATAATTACGTGAAAATTTAATGCACAATAAGCCGTAAAGAAATCATGTGCAGCACCACGTAGTACGTATTGTTTGTCTCTGAAACTATATTTTTTCACTCAGTAAAGCGTAATCAGTTGACAAGCTATAGAAGAAAATACATCAACAAACATGACTGTTCGAAAATCGAATACATATTCAAATTATTTTGACTATCTTATCGTCACAAATAACTAAGTATGTACGTGTGCATGAGGCATACATTCGCGTAAGTAGTATTGGAATGATTTTTATCCATTTATTTGAATATGAAGTTCAACTGGGTTAAGGTATAGGTTTTGCTTTTGCTTCGCTTTTTAAGGAAACATAATACCTTTACCGCAAAAAAGTATTGGTTTAGTTATTTATGCATGTATGTAAAAGGAGATATCATAACAAAAGCGAAAATAAATCCAAAATTATATTCGAGTCGACTTGATTAGAAATGCTTATGCACACTTGCTTAGTATATAATCTACACTATGCCTACTAACCACACTTGCATAAATTATGATCAAAATACCACCTACAATATGCCTACTAACCACACTGTATATTATCATAAAAAATGAAATTTACGGTCTTTGAATGAATGTTTCTACGCACTATTCATAAAAGTCGCGCATTACACAGGGTGCCTCAAAATTCTTGCAAGAAAGTTCATGACTTATAGAGCATATAGTGTAGTTTGTGGCACAGGTTCAATAAGTTGTTCCATTGAGATTATAACGCTTGGGGCATTCTTGCATAATTTAAGTAAAAAGTGTGGAATTTTGTAAAGTCACTTATTACTTCTTAGAAAATTTCACAAGTGTAGGATTGCGGAATAGTACGGAATAACCTATATGGGACAAATGGCCTGTTAGACTTTGCTGACGAACTCTAATCGCTTTGCAGTAGGTCAGCAGGCTTCAGTTCTGCAGCCAATCAAACTTTGGCATTACATTGTAAAAAGCTGCTTGCAATATTCAATTTTGAATTGATATCCTAGGGATCGCAGAAGCACTCCCTCGAATTACTTCCATGTTTTATGCTGAAGTAGAGGCAGAGTGTCTCAGATCACTAATTGATCTTTTCTTCCCAAATTTTTCCATTTGATGATGAATTTAAATTTCGGCGAACGTTTCGCCAGGCTCATTGGTTCATTTACGAACTTCTGCTACAAACGCTGGAAGATTCGAAAATTTCCCGACATATTTAGAACTCGATGCAAAGTTTTAAGTTCATAATCGGAGAAAAACTAGACTCATGTACTTTTTTTTGTTAGTTGTGGCGAAATGCAATGCCTACATTTCTTGATCTGTGACATTAATCTGAGAGCAAGAACGAGTTAGATGTGAGTGTATTTTTCTTAGGTAAAAAAACGGGCTTTTGGTCAATCATTTCACCGGATAGAAAATTAGACATATATGGTTAGATCGATCGGGAACATTTGACAAGTTTAACATAAATCCCTTGACAGGTATAGCAAGGCAAAAGTCGCAATTGACTGAAGTCAAATAATTGGACCCAATTTTTTTTTTTTTATTTTTATTTTTTTATATTCGATTGATATACAGCTATTCCTCTCATAATCGGTAGACCGATTTGGTTTAAACAAATGCAGCGATTCCATCCTAGGACTTGCAATTATCCGTTTAAAAGAGGTTCATTGATGTGATCCTGTCAACTAACGCGTTGACCGCGTGAACTTCATTTTGTGTCAAGCTTTAACTTCTTAAAAGAAAATTCCTTATTTTCATTTCGCTTACGAAACTGTAAGTTGACCTGAACTCGTTAAGCGTTCATTAGGACATCTTTGTTTTATAAATTTATAAAGATCACTTAAGGATGTCTTTCCATTTTAATATGCCCACTATATATGCACTATTATAGTAATAATCTATATTTCCGATTTGAACGGAAATAAAACTTACTCCCTCAGCAGTTTTATGACATTCTCCAGCTACATATTAATTGATATTCAAAATTTTAGTATGAAAAAAAATCTATTAGACCGTCTTGAAATTGAATTCCCGACCGACTTTCATAGAATATATCGATAAGTATTATTCAATAAAAATTCTACCAATATAAAATCTATGCTTGTCTCGTCCGCAAACGAACACATAAAAAGCCGCGCTGGCGCAAGCTACCATATCTTTTCAATGGTGAAATAGGAAAATATAAAAATTATATATTTTATAAATTAAAATTTGAGGTCACATAATCTAGAATACGTCTAATTGTTCATCTTGATAGTTGCATCGTTTTTATATCTTCTCCTTCCCTTGTTGGCGTTTTATAATACAAAGCGTGCGAGTGGTTTTATTTGTTTTTTTATTTAAAAACCGTAAAATTTGCCAAAGTTGACGAAGTCCATTAAAGAGATTGGCAATTGGCGATATCTGAAAATGTTTATGTATGCATTTATTTATTCAATTTAAATTGCAAAAGCAGATAAGTAAGCAAGGAGTTTCACATCAAGGCAAATTAAAGCAACACAGTGGGTAAGTTGAAACTTTTCATACCGTTCTACATAGCTTAACACTGGAAACTGAAAGATCAGTTCAAGTCTCACTTAATGCGTTCAGTTATTCTTTAACCCTGACATCTATTTGGCGTATAAAAAATTTAGCTTTTGCTACTGTATTCAGCTGTTAGCCAAAAACGACCTAATACGAAAACGAAAGTCAACTATCGTCTGTGTGATTACCCGCAAGATTTCTTCCAGTTAGCTGCTAACGGGCAAAACAAATCAAAGAAAAAATCTGATAGCAGCAATCATATGGTTGATAAGACGAAAGCAAACAAATTAGACGAATTTATTCGTGCGAAAGCGGTTATTATAGAAATAAAAAAAAAAGAATATTAAGCGATGACAACTATGTGTCCACGTTATCGACAATTCGTTTTGTAAAAATATCTAAAATAAATTTAATTTTTCACATAGATGTTCTTTCGATATTTTGTTTTTCTCGATGTATTTGCCTAAGACAAATTTTTTTATATCGCATTCACAATAGGCAGAAAAGCTAACTACAATAATTTACCTAACAATTAGGAAACTACATATTATTAAAAAGCGAATAATTTAACTTCCAGCTAAGTGTCTATTTTTCAGGAAGTGTCTATTGTTCAGTGCCAATTTAAGTTAACGTATTGAAGAAGGCCCTAAGTACTCGCTGCAATAAGAACTAGATATTCGTATCATTTCATTGACATCGTTACCTTACCCGTAAGCTTTTGGTTTTTAAAAGGTAACACCTGAAATGGGCAACCCTTTCTTTCTCAATTTTTGTTTTAGTACATCTTTAATATTTTGTTTTGCTCGCCGTCTTCTGTATTGCACTTGAAATTTGGCAGAGTGTTGTTTTAAGTTTTTCCAAAGAGTTTAGAAGCAGAAAACTGAGTAAAATCTGCAGAAGCCATAAAAAATCAATAAAAACAAAAAGTTGAGTGGAGATTAAGGAAATACTATAAAGTAGTAATCAAGGGAAAATGGGTGCTGAACATTCGCAACAAAGGGCTGAAGCTGACGTTAGGGAGTTGTTTGAAGGTCAGGTGAATAGTTCGATCAATCACCAAATGGCAACAAAAGTTGTTGGAGCAAATTTTAATCTTTCCAATGAAGCCGTGAAAAAACGTACCATGCTCCGTCAAGGTAGTTCTGGTGCAGTTGGCACCACTACACCTGCGAACAAACTTAAACCAGGCAGTGACTCTATGCCATCACCAACCACCTCCGAAATCGATCGACCATCTTCCCCCCCTTTAAGTGTTTGTTCAGATTTACCTTACGTGTCTTATACCACAGATCGACCAATCGGCGATTCACCAAAGATACGTGGAAAACCAAGTAGTGCAAGTAGTACAAGCAATAGTAGATCTTCATCGTTGGTTATGAGACGTAATACTGGTACTAAACCCAAAAGACCGCAATCCACAGTAGCTGCACACAGCATAGTTATAGTAAAACCGGGCGCTAAAGACTTTAATGAAGAAGTAGAACCTGAAATACAACAACTACGCAATATACCGCAATTTATGCCCGTTCTACGGGATTCAATAGCATCATCAACATTTACAAGAGATCCCGAAATCCTGGATCGTTTGCAAATTCAACCGCATTTATTAAATATTTGCTCTCGCATGCAAACCCATCTGAATATGTGCGCTACACTGGTAACTCAGGAGCAAGCTCATTTAGTAGAACGTACTAAAGTGGTTAGCAATTCTATTACAACATTGTTTGCATCTTTTGTGGACATGCAGAAAACATATGCCGCCTATGCTGAGCAATTTGCAAAAGTCCGTTTAATTTCTCAACAACTAAGTCGTTGTAATTCGTTACTAAATGATAATATTGCCGGTTTGGAAACGATTAATAATTTTTTAGAACCCGAAGACCGTTTAGAGCCATTTGTTTGGCGTACTGATGATAATAAATTAAGAGGAGAAGCCGAAGGAGCGGCAGCAATAAGCGGTCACTCCTCGTTATGGTTGAAACGGTTGTAGTAATAAGGACAGAACCAAATTGCTTGCGATAGAAGAGAATGCACAAGAACCATTGTTTAAAAGTGCAAGGAAAGAAAAGAATATATAAAGAAATGTACATTTATAAAATAAAACTATATTTACTGAAGCATATGCATATATGTTTACCAAGAAGGCTATAAAGCTTTTTGTCAAACCTTTGTAATGCATACAACGGCCATCGTAAGACGCTTGAAATATATACATTTTTCGTCACCGTCAACAACGGAATCAACGGAATTTGTTTATACCTGTGTGTTGGCTTGTCTGTTCAAATCTTAACTACTATCTCCAAATGTTTCTTCGAACAATCAATTGCTCACACTTTTCCGACACTCCTCTCAAATGGAATTCAAAAATAAACGAAATCATCACTTGCTTACGGAAAAGAAGAGAACGAAAATTTGATTTATTTATTTATTTATTTTTTTTAGGCTATGCTCCTATTACTGAAGGATGAGTTCATTTTGTCAACAGGATTGCAACGACCGAAAGGAGGCATCAGAGACTCCACAAAATATATATATTCTTGATCAGCATCCAATTTTAATTCGATTTAAGCATGTCCGTCTGCTGAACGGAAACATTGGAAGTGCTTGCATAGAGATTTTTATTAGAAATTAGCCAAACATGTCGAAGGACGCGCCCACAGCACCACGTAAACTATGAGAACACTTTTGTTTTTCAAAAGTTATAAAAAATCGGTTGTTTGCCAATTACTCATAAACTATATCAGATAAACGTATCAAAACTCGAGGGCACATTCGATGGTCTATGGCCTATCCAATATTATAGCGTATCAAAATTAGTTTTTTTCTCACTTCCTTCAGAAGGCGCAGAAAAAAGCTTTCACTTTTTAAGGTTTATGCTTGTTTATCATAAGGCAAACAAGACAGAATGTTTAAAATTATTTTGTGAACTCCTCAAAGGTAGATGTATTATCTGCATAAAAATGGACTAATTCTAAAGTGAATATGGTAGACACCGACATAACGTTTTCCTAATAATACCAGCGATATGGGCATCACATGAAACCACTTCGAGAGTAGAATGCGAAACGCGTAATGGTGATTATGCGAGATTGGCCCCCTTTCTTACTTGTTTTAAGCTCGAATTGTGTTTCTCAATTAAAAATGCATGTTAGGTTTTATTCTATTCTGCCATCGAGTTCAGCTGATGTATGCCGCAGCAAGAACATTGTTACATCGACGTGGGCGACGAATAGAAGATATAAACCTTATGGAATTTTTCCATCACATTTTGGTTGCCAAAGACGTTGGCAAATGACACATTGAAAGAACGTCCAAAATGTCAATTAGGCTTGGCAGTTAACTATAAAGTATTCTTTCGGTTAGGATAGAGGAGCATCTCAGCTAATTCAAACTACATTTGGTGCTTGAGAGCAAGTTTACTTTCTTATTGTATGCAAGAAGTTTGTGAGCAGATTGTAACTCACATACTGCACTATGAAATGATAAGGCTGGTCGTACTACGTCTGCAAAGGAGGCAAGCCTGTGTGATTACTGTAATTAACTCAAATAACTGAGGTTTCATATTCTAACGAAACAGAACTTTGACGCGCTGCATCTAAACTTTCTTCTTCTTGACATTTTTTTGCCAAATTCGTAGTTATTCATCATCAAGTATTGCACAAATATGCAACTGGAAGCATCTAAAATAATTCCGCTACAATTTTTAGTGTTGATATTAATAAAGTTTCTTACATAAATTTGCGATATCGAATGCTTATAAGATTAGTACGATTGTGTAGGCCAAGCGGTATAATGTATTTCTGCGATTATATAAAAATTAAAACAGGCAACACTGTGCTTGTTTATAAATAACAGCTGTTTAATAACAGCTAATCTATTAAGCATAAATTACCAGCGAACGACTAAATTAAGTAAAAACAAAAGGTCACATCGTAAAGAATTTGTAAAAATATTGCAAGCGATAGCAAAATTATGAACGAGCAAAACGCTTTAATACAAAAACAAATTCTATCACCGGGTGAGCAGTACATTCCGTTAACGAATGGCACCCGGGTAAGTAATGAAGTAGGTGGATTATCGTCGATTTTGAAAATTCCATCCATTAAAGGTAAAATTCCATTTCCAAACACGTAAAGCGAAAGATGGTATTGTTGTCGATGATAGCCGTAAAATCGGCCAATTAATGCAATTGGTGTTAGGCAAAAAATTTAAATTAGAAGTCTGGGAAGTTATGGTACAAAAAATGGCTTTAAATGAAGTAGCTAAATTTACTGTGGATAAAACGGTATTTCATAATGCAAATTCTTTTATTAATTTAAAAACGAAATTTCTTTTGTTCATTTTTTGTTATTTGCAATATTTTAGTTGGTTACGCAGTATCCATTTGTCTCGAAAACTCTTCGTGATATGGATAAACCGAAAAAGAATTCTCATCATTGTTGCGGGTTATCATTACAAACTGAAGGTCTTGGATATAAAGATTTGGACGAACTTTTATCGAATCCTTGCGATTTGGAATTTATAATTGAATTGATTTCTGTAGAACTGCCCGAGGATTATCAAAAGGAAACATGGCAATTAACGGACAATGAAAAACTGAACACAGTTACAAAACTGAAAGAACAGGGCAATCAATTGTACAAATCGGGTGATTACGAAAAAGCCGAAGAATGTTATCGACAAGCAGTAAGCATAATTGAACAGTTAATGCTAAAGTAATTCCACCATATTTTGATGTTGTGTTAAACATGATAAAAAGAAAAAAATGATATTCATTTTTATACTCACCAATCTAGGATAAAATGTTCAAATAGAGAAATTAGCTTTTGTAGAGGAAATACCTCAGCTTCTGATTCAAATTCATCTCTCTAACGTCATAACCCTTTAAATATTAGCAACTAAAAAAAAAAACTACAGGCGATAGCCCAGTTACTTGTGCAAAAAGAAGATCCATTAAAATACTTACATCGTCCGTCGTTACGTACGTAACGTTTTACGTCGATTTTCTTGGTATACCTGCGTCAGCTTAGACGGCGTTAAATGCAGAATTCCCAAGAAATATATTCTCCTATAAAGTGATAATAAAGCGAAAAAGATTTTTTATTCTATTTATTTATTTATTTATTTTTTTCGCTACTTTGAGATCCACTCGCATAGTTTGTACGTGAGAACGATTTGTTTATCACTCGCAGCTAATATCTAAATCAATTTTCATAGGAACTGTAAAATAATAAAAACATTTATTACTGTAATAATTCGAAAGTATCTTTGCCAAAGACTCACCCAATCCAGGGTAAGTCATTTTCACGTCTTCCGCCAAACATTTTTCCCGTAAAACAATTGATTAAACTTCGAACTTAGAAAATTTTAAAATCCAAGTGGTGGGTATCCGAAATCCATGTAAATGTAAATTAAACGTTTTGCAATATTTGTAACATTTTTCTTGTATTATTATGTAGAGAGAAACCGCAAGATGTCGAGTGGCTGGATCTAGCTAAGCTTAAAATTCCGGTTCTCTTAAACTATGCTCAATGCCGTCTTCTATCTAATGATTATTACGCAGTCATAGAGCATTGTAGTGAAATTTTGCAGTTAGATCCTGATAATGTGAAAGCCCACTACCGGCGAGGCAAGGCGCACTTTGGAGCTTGGAATCCGAAAGAAGCGCGTAAAGATTTTCAACGGACGGCCGAGTTGGATCCGATGTTACAAAAAGTAATTGCAAAGGAGTTAAAAGCTATTGATAAAGCACAACAAGAACGAGACTTACAGGATAAGAGAAGCTTGCAGCATTTGTTTTAGTAAAGAAAACTTTTATGATATATTTTCGATTCTTTTTTTTTTTCTTTTTTTTGGATAAATGTATAATTTTTATTAATTTATTTAATAACTTCAATTGTATAATTGAATCTACCATTAGTTTTTTTCCCCTTTTCTTTTTTTAAGTAAAACATGATTATTTTATTGATTTTATATAATTATCGCAATAAATTTCAATTTCACTAACAAAGTATTATATGTACGTTAAATGTATTTAGGAGTGTATGAAAGTGTGCCAATATTCAATTATGAATGCGTTATAATATCATTAATTTTTAATTAACACTATTTTTTTTTCCTACAAATTTTTAAGTCGCGATTTTGTATTTAAAAGATTTTCTTAAGCTCCAAAAAAAAAAAAATACAAAAATAAAATGAAAAATGAAAAATGTAAAAATCTTGAAAACTCAGAAATAATGGGATTTGAAGAGAAAAAATTAAACTTAGTTTTGAACACTCAACGCGATTATTTTATTCTTTTCATCAAGTCTAGAGAATGGAAGGTTACCTGTTTCAATGTGATATGAAAACTGAAAGCAAGGGACTTTCCTTATTCGATGAACTGATTTGTAAGAATCAGAACAAGAAGAAGAAAAGGAAGAAATCTAAAAGTTTATTAAATGGCTGCTCAATATAGTTGCACACATCAGTCGCGTCCAAAATTGGGGGATGTACTAATTTTACCATCCCACTTATACCACACCTTCAAGTTTGTTATCAACGCGAAATTCCGACTCTGATTCTAGTCGTCTTCATATGCATTCTCATCAATTTGCAAAACTTTGTTCCTTGCAACGAAGGTATCGCAGTTTAGATTCAATTAGCTGAGCTACGCAACTAAGAAGGTAGAAACAACTTGGGAAGTAAATGTTAATCTATGGCTTGTAATTGAAATTCTCTGTACGTTTGTTTATTTGTTTGTTTTAATTTTTAATATTTTTCTGTAAAAATTATTGTTGGACTTGCATTTGAAACCTGTCTTAGCCGTTCCTATATAATATCTATAGGGATATCTGATATCAGTGAACAATATAAAATTACGCAACATTTCCAAAAATTGTAATTCAATGGAAATTACGGTATTTTATAAAAATACAAATGAAATTTGTCAGTAAAATGTTTTCGATTTAATGATATGTTTACTATTTTTCTGCTTTCAACTGAAGATCTCTTAACCTTGAATATCGGGCATCGAGTGGATTTATTATTATTATTAGGCCTAAGATGCGGAGTAATTTTGCCTTTACGCATAAACTAATGTGTGTAGAATCGGTATCAAACTGTCTGTCGCCTTATGTGTTCCTATTCAAATATAAAATTGATTTACCAATACGTCCATGATGAAACTAAAATCCATCTCTCCATCCCTTTAAAACACCAATTATTACGTTAAGTTTTAAGCGAAAAATAAATAAAAAACGTAACCTTACGCTTCATTGTATAGTTATAAGGACTATTAGTCATAGTCATTAGAGTTCCCATAGGAAAGGTTTAAATCCGACAATGTGTACACTATAGTGTAATATTTTAAGAAAAAAAAAAAGGTAATATAATCGAAAAAAAAACTTAAAATATTATTATTATTATTATTATTATTATTAATTTCGCTAGAGAAATAAATTCTAAGACTAAACTCTTAAAAGCACTAGCATCTAAGGCTATTGGCTTAAAATTAAAATAGAAATGGTTTCTGGTGTTCATTCTGCATCAAGCATTCTCTTCGATCTCAATGGTGGTTTGAAACGATCGCGAACAACAGCTCATTGAACTCATGTTCAGATGCATCATTTGAAAGGTTGTGCGTATCTATCAATCACAAATTATTTATGATTGACTCCTATCTTGGTTGTAGTCGATTTCGATAATTCTTCCAGCAGATTGCTCAGAGATTTTACCACCGATATACAGTTACAGTTGCGTCAACGAAGCGTCGCACGGTTCGCTAACCATGCGAACCTTTCGTTTTATAGGTTTGCCAAGATATTATCTCTTTTCAAAAAAAAAAAAAAAAAAAAAAAAAAAAAAAAAAAAAAAAAAATGGACCATGTCTAGAGAAAAGTTAACAAACTGCGTTGTAGTTCGATCGTGAACCTGCCTACGCTCGATAGATAATAGACCTTGTTTAAATAAACTGGCATGTGTTTCCTTAAAATAAACTGAAAGGCTATCTTGGTTTAAAACACTCCAAATTTCCAACCCGTCATGCGATGGGAAAGAGAAGGCAATTTTTCATCCCTTAGTCTATATGGCCCTTTTTTTTTTAGAAATAATCATAATAGGTGGTGATAATTGAAAATTTTTTATTAAAACAATAATTTTTAGCACCTAACAACTAAAATAACAAAAACAAAAACTAAGTAAATAAATAAATAAATAAATAGATAAATAAATAAATGAAAAAAATAATAAGTAGACAAGAAGAAAAACTTAAACTAAAAGCGAGGATAAACCGAATTTATTTGCTGGCTGTTGTAAAGGTGTTTTCAGCTCTTCCACAACGATGGTACCGTTCTCGTCAAGTTTATGATTAAGTAAAAGATTTTCCACCTGCTCATCGGACAATAATTCCTTAGGTTCAAGTCTAAAAATAAATTTAAAAGAAAAATAGAAAAATAAATTTAAATATAAAACCTAAATTTAAACCATATCAATCAACTGAAGGTTAAACAATTTTAATAAAATTAAATTTTGAAAACGCACATCTAATTGTAATTTTTTCAAAATTTCGAAAATTGATTTTGTAAAATTCCAAAAACGCCACTCTTTTTGGGCAAAATTCTAGGTAAACTACTGCTACTGTCGCTATTATTATTATTTTTGATGGTTGTATTGATTGTATTGGTGGTGGTGGTGGTGGTGGTGGTGGTGGTGATGGTGGTGGTAGTGGTGGAATTATGATGACCTTCTACTACTGACCTGGAGAATAGAAAGAATTCACCTGGCGATGAAGTACTGGACGAAGTTGTGTTGCCCACGCGTGTCATTAGGGTCGTATTGTTAGTGCCTTCAACATTCATTTCCGACTCGCTATTGCGACGTTCTAGTGTACGTCCTACTTTTTGAAAACCAAATGAAAAAACGTCTTTCACCTTATCGCCAGCGTCTATTAGTAAATCGAGACTTTGACGTCTACCGCTCATTTTCAAGCTATTCGAACGTGACAACCATTGCGAGAGAGTTTGCTTCTTAGTGAGTGGCTCCTCGTTAAATATTGTAGTGCAGGTAACTTTACGTTTCGGTTCATCCGAAGAAGATGCCGAAGAATGATGCGACTGAGCGTCCTCGGCAGCAGCAGCTGTAGCCGTTTCACCGTGATCGTGCAGTAGACTTTGATTTGAGTAACTAGAGCTCGTGCTATCGGAATGTGAAAGACGTATTTCAGTCCATTGCTCAATATCATTATCGTCATGAGCGACACTATTGTTGCATGTGGCTATTAATCCCGAACTAGATGAAGGATCGTTGCTAAGATTACCACCACTTCCGCCTTGCGATTTCACTTCATAAGGCCCGCGTATCTGAGTGTGAGCAAATAAATTGTCACGCGTAGCACTAGCGCTAGCCGACTTATATAGACCGCTATTAGGTTTTTGGGGAAATATAAGAACCGACTCAAAATCTCTTAATAAATGAGGACAATCATGCGGATCCGGTTGCCTTTGGCGAATAGGACTCGAATTTGTACTTAATTTATCGGGCATTTCCAAGTATTCATCTGCTGAGTCGATATCACAAGGAAAATTTGGAAAACTAAGCCCAGTTCCTGCAGTTTTATTAAGCGTATCTAGATTGGATTCATTCGATAGTAAATTCGTTTGCTTTCCTTGTAAGAGTTGTTGCTGTTGTTTTCTCTCTTGTTGCTGCTGTCGCTGATGGTGTATTTCTTCCGAAATCCTCTCCAAGTTTTTCAAGGCCTCATTATAGGACATTTTGGCTTCGGTTACTTTGTGCTCTAAATCATTGATTTTGTTCTTCTGCGTTTTCAGAATACCATTGTAATTGGCGCGAGTTTCATAAAACGGCCTGAAACACAAATTTTAATTTGAAAACATTATTTTATGAAAAAACAATAAAAAAAATAAATAAATAAATAAATTGTTGTAAAACAATAATTAAAACAAAACAAAAAAAAAAAAAATAATAATAAAAATAAATAAATAAATAAATAAAAAAGTACTTACAAATCATGCTGATAAGCCAATATATTAATTAAAAGTAAATTTCGTCGTATATTAAAACTGAAAAAAGTTTTCAATGCATATTTATATAAAAAATTTAAAAAATAATAAATACGAATAATAAATTTTATCCTTATTTAATAGAATAGAGTTCCATTCTACACTTGAATTAATTTCCATCATTTCACAATTAATTCGGTGCTAACCTGTGTGCAATATTTTGTTCGCGATTTACAAAAAAATGGGTCACCCGGGCAGCTTGTACGAATAGTATCGGAAAGGCAAACATCGAGGAGCATAATGATCATCTCAACTTTGAGTTCAAGGACAGGGATCATTGAATGGCGGATAAAGTTTCAAGTCGAATCGATCTTAGCTGGGGACGCATAGCGAGGTCTTAAGAAAATTAACAATGACCGGAACTCAATATAAACGAACTGAATCCAAGGAGCGTTAAATGCGAAAGTAAAAATGCTTTGCGTCACATTGCGTCAATGCGAGCCAATTGGATCGAGGTTATAGCAAGCGAGATAACAGTAATTAGGTTGGAAATTGCTGACAAGGAAAGAATACGAGAAAGTCATTAATAATCCTATCAAGAGAGATAATATCGTATTCTTGTACACCGCAATACTATTCATACGCTGCCCTGTCTGACGATAATGTGGGTAATGAGTTTCTCAATATATTTGAAGACATGTATGTGCCTGAAGACTGATCAATATTTTTTGTGCATATACGTACGTTTATATATACATTCGCATACATTTCAAATGTACTTGTAAATGTGTAGCTTTAGTTTAACTACAAAAACCGATTAAAATTAATTCAAGCGAGAGAGTGTTATCTAGGATGCTATAAAAAATTCTTTTAATTGAATTAAACTGATTTTACCTTGAAGTTTTTATAGCTTGCTTTAACTGTCCTTGCAATTTAGCGACACGATTATTGGCCACCTCCAATTTCAGTTGACACATTTTCAAGGAATTTCTAGCATCGGTTACCTCCAATTGCGATTGATTCACTTTACCTTGGGTATGATATAGAATAAAATGAAAAAAAAAAAAAGATTTAAAGTTTTATATATAAAGATAGAGAGAGAAGCATGCAGTTGGAGAGGAAGAAGAAAGTGGAAGAAAAAGAAGAAGAAGATAAATAAATGCAAAATGGTTTTGAAAAGCAATTAACTTACTGGCCGCATGACTTAACATCTCCTGGCAGGCTGTATCCAATGTAGATTTCTCACCTAAACCTTGTTCGGCCAAGTAAACCATTTCTTTGGCTGCGGCATGAATAGATTTAGCTTTTTCATAGTTTGCTGCTGCCTTTTGTGTGTCCTTTGTCAGCTGCCGGTCAGGATAGTAATAAAAATAAATATTTAATCAAATGTAAACCAATTATGCGGGCATGTCTGTGTGTGCTTGTAAACATGGGTAATAAACTGTAGAAAAGCATTCGTTTAAAAATATACATTAGTTTGATTTGACTGTTCATAGGCAAGCATGATGTTCATGGGCAAGCATGAGTTTATTCGCATTTACATGCATTCTTACCTGTGCTGCATAAATGCGTGATTCATAATACGGTTTGGCTGCATCTATTGAATTACCCAACTTATGCGCCGCTTGCTTGATACGTACTTCGCTTTCGGCCAATACGCGTTTAAATTCACATTTTGCCTCCTTCAGAAAACCAATTCAAATAAAAAATGTCTTTTTAATAATATTACTACTATATATATATATACATATATATATATAACATATATTTTTCATTATACACGATTAAATTGTGGAATAGTAAGCTTTCTTGCAATCTAACCTACGTCTAAGGTATATCCTGGCCGATAATGAAATTTTTAAAGGTGAATCCGATATGAATACACCGCAAAGGACTCAAAATGCGAAAAGATCGATCACATTTACAACTTATGCAGGAAATTTAAATTATGCGATGGGCGGGGATAGCTTTTCTGTAAAAGTCATTTTGTGGCTGCTTTTGTAAATGTTTTCCTTTTTTTTTCGTTTGCGTTAGTGTAAGTTGTCGTTACATTGGTCGCAAACGTTGTACACTTCCGCACAAACCATTTGGACGATCGTGCGCTATACTGAATTTCTTTTTGCTGAAATTCTTTTCAGAAATGTCATTGAATGTATTTATGTTTTTTGCTTGGATTAAGATTCGAAATCGATACATAGATGTCCGTCTGTCCAGCGTTCTGTCCCTCCATCTTTCGTTTGTCAATCGAACGCTTATGGCAGCAACAACTTGTATAGGCGCACCGTGTTCAGTAGGTCGTCCAGTACAATTAAATTAAGTCGACCGATAATATTTAAAAAAAAAAAAAAAAACTAATTTAGTCTGTCTGCTGCAGACATTTATGCGATATATGAACGAGATTTGTCGGAAAATTTCCATCCTAGGTAAGAACAAAGCATTGGTGCTTGGCAGTGGCCCTTAAAAATTACATAATCGCTCCAATGGTTTGCTAACATTTGAGTGCTTCTCTTACAGAACGATTTGTTAAGATTTTGGAAATATGCTTCAGTTTCTCGACGAAGCATCCTCGTGAGATTTGTGATACGGCAGCAAATCGAATTTTTATTCATACGATCTTGCCATTCTAACCATGGAGTTGGCTTTTTTGCTCCATTGCGAGTAGACGAAGCACATAGCTCGGCTACAAAAAACTTCATTCCATACGCAGTACCCAACTAGTCTTTAGTTTGTGTGAGTGTATTGCTTTTAAGAATTAAATACTGAATGACAATTCGTTGTTCTCCCTTTTCACCGAAAATGATTATTAAACAATTGAAAGTCCAAAATGATTGAAATCTTATTAAGGACTTATCAACGCATACACAAGCATATTAATTAACTTTTGTGGAAAAGTGCTATCACCTTTGTACCCTTAGGTTGTAAACTTCTCAACTGTTAGCGTACATGTAAAACTTGGTAAAAAAAATATTTTTTCACAATAAGAACGTTTTCAGAGTCGGCCATGTTGCACTCTTAAAGTTACAAATAAAAAATGAAAAAAAGAAGAAAATCTGCAAAATTTTATATACTGCTGCGGGTTAATTTCTAAGAAGGATTTACTCTACTTTGTTTAATATATTGATATTTCAATTCAACACTTACATCGAGTTCCAGTTCATATTTATTGATATTGTCTGTTGCTGTATTGAGTCTTTCCAATTCGACCTGCAATTGCATAAGGGAAACATGAGAAAGAGAAAACTGAAAAATTGATAATTCATTTGAATTCCTCTGACACTGCACTGCGTAAGTTCATTAATATTAATTGCAGCTTGTTAGTTGCTTTTCATTAAATGCATTGATAAAATAAACGGAAGCTTGCTTTTCTGAGACTGAGTCTATATTCAAAGTTACTTTAGGTAATTGGTGCAATCTTGTTGGTATTGGGAATTTAAGAGTTGGTTAGTATAGGCAGACGTAAGACTATAACAATTCAGAATCCAAAGCTCACCAAGTCTCTGTGCACTATATGGCGAGCATTATTAGATGCTTTAGGTGCAACGAGAAAATTCTCCAAACTTTGCAGCTAATTTTCATGTAACTATGACTATAGGCAAGAGTGGGGTCCATTTGAATTGTAGATAATTTAGTTTATCTATGTATATATGTGAATTTTTTGGTAAAATATCCGTTGATTGCATGTATTTTGATCAGCTCAAAACTGCATTTTCGTCATTCATTACTCTTGTTGTTTAACTTGAGAGCATCTGCGTCGGAATCCAACAAACACTCTTCAAAACCTATGGTTCCTGAGCTATTCAGACGTGTGCTACTAAGGTAAAAAAGTCTGGGCTTGCACTATTTGGTTTGCGAAACGGAAAGGGGGGAAACAAGTTTATAGTGAGAAAAACTATCTTAAACTATAGTTTAGTTTCAGTCGAAATATGTTGTATTTCGAATACACTTATCCCAAACGATCCCAGATGATTTCTTGCGAAAAGTATAGGAGTAAACTGATCAACTAACGCTAACTAACTGATCAACGTAATAACTAGAGCACTAGAGTTGTCGTTCTTCTGCGAGAGTGTACATAAGTCGCACTATAACGGGGACTCTTCCTCTATGCAATAGCCTGAAAAGCCCAAAAGTATATAGAAGGTTTTTGGGATGCTTGAAATGGGTCGGTGCAACCTGCTTAATTCGACAGATATTTCGAATGATGTACGATATGCAAAACCTAAATAGTTATGCTGAAGACTGGGGGAATCTTGAACATCGACCATAAAGCCGTATAGGTTATGGTGTATTATGATCTATTCCAAATAAATGGAAATGTAATTAATGAACGCTGCCAATAATCGATGCAATTGGGACGAAAAACGGACGCAATATGCCAAAAGTCATGATATCGTGAGTTTTTGTGATTAGGGGAATCAAGATGAAATTAGTGGAGAGTAAAAGTTTAAAATTCCGCAGTTTATGAGCAGCTCTTTAGTTCCCCCGTAAATATTGTTCCGTCAAAGTTTCAATTATATGGCGCGTGCACTGAGAGTGATCTCAATTATTTCATTGTGTTTAAAAGCATCAAACAATCAATTATCATTTGTGTAAGGTACTGTGAAAATGATAAAAATTTATAAATGAAAAAAGAAAAAAAAAAACATCATTCACCCTGTAAGTAATAAGAAGCATCGCGTACTTTGTTCTGTTTCCAAAATTTCACTTAGATGATATGCATTGTATTGTGCAGACCGTTCGCAAAAGGCCAAGCGAAAACATAGAAGTGTTGCATGCAAATGGTCACTAATTTGTTACGAAAATGATAAGGTAAAATTCTTTAAGTTTTTAATTAATTTAATTAATTTTAATTAATTTAATTTAATTATTTTTATTAATTTTTTAATCATTTCATTCAATATTTTTTATATAACGATAAACTTAGTTTCTACCTGAAGGCACGGAAAATGCCCCAAATAACTGAAAGCAATCTCAGTGCGTGCAAAGGCTTTGCTAAGAGATAGGCGTGTAATATTAGTTTGTCTAAATTATTGTTATCCATAGATATGTATGTATATCAAAATTGTTCATTTGCCCTATTTCTTTAAAGTGTTAAGAATTAATAATACACTGCATATATATGTTATATACTTGTTTTCATGCCGATGGGAGATTTTTTTTTTTCTGATGTGTTTTAGGGCAAATTTTCGAAACCACCTCCGTTTAAAGATTAAAGCAACACTTCTTCTAATTGAAGCCTATCGTGTACATTGTTTTCCTATTGAGAACACATTTCATGACTTAAATCTTCTTCAGGAATTCTCGTTGAAACAATTCGTACCATGGCTTATTTCGCATTTTGTACATTAATCCAAATCCGAAAAGTCAACAATTGAAGGCTTTACACTATTTGGTAATGCGCTACGTACGTTGGTTGAAATGATGAGCAAAAATTGCTTCCAATAAGAGTCGCATTAAGGACAACGGCATCAACACATTGGTTTTGACCGTTATTGGTCCGACTTATGGTTGAGTGACGTCGTTGCGTTATACTTTATCCGAGATGATGAAGATGCAGCATTTATGCAGCGAATGCGAGGCGATATCGTGCAATGCTTATAAGATTTTTCTTAGCAAAGTTAATTGAATCGCGTGCCCTGCCAAAAAGAAGTTTTTGGTTTCTATAAGATGGTACAACCGGGTCAAAATATTAACATGTTGACTGATAAGTACGAACAACTTTGGGAAACGTTGCAGCGAGCTGGTCATCAAGGTCTTGTGATCTGATGTCGTTAGACGCGTTCCAAGGCAACAATCAAATCGCACGTAATTCGTAATTAAAATTATAAAACAAAGTCAAGGCCATTGAGATATTCCTATCGAGAATTGTCATTGGAAATTTTAACTTATATACGAATGTCGGTGCGTAAGTGCAATAAGTTTAATGTTCGCTACGAATATATGCATTTTTCATTGATGAGAGAAAGAAAAGAAAAGAAAAAGGAAAAGGAAAAAAACAGAATCCAATAAATGGCTCATGTGTAAAAGCGGTAAAAATTTCACTCAAGTGACTAACGGCAACATAGAGAAACTAACTACAAGTCGATGATTTATGAGATATGGTATATATGTATTTATAACAGAAACTAAAGTCTTATTAATATTTTCACGCAATAACGTTCTCTGGCGAAGCGTAGTGATAACGGGAACGCTACGATGAACGCTAATTCCTGTTACCATAGAAAACAATGATTACTTTTTTTTGTTTTTTCTTTTTTGGCACAGATACAAAGTCGTATTAAAGAAAAGAAAAAAAAAAAAAAAAAATTACAACAATAATATTTCTTTTGCTATGCAAACAGATGCCTATACATAAGGAATTATATATATAAATAATGCTTATGTCATGGCATAGGCAATGAATTCGATTGAACAAAATTGTTTTTCGTAAATATAATGCAGTGCGGTATTCAGGTTCATTGTCAATAAAATTTCATTTAGCATATTTTTGGTAATTTTTCGTTTCCATAATTACCTGTACCCTGGGATCGACGGGCGAATTATTGCTTTCGGTTGTCATCTTATAGATGAAAGAAATAAATGATAATAAATAAATAAATAAATAAATAAATATATAACAAAAATTCTTTATTACAATATATTGCTTAGCTATTGCAGAGGAATTCCATCACTTGCGACTAATTAATAGCGTCTTAAACTAATTACTTTAATTCTTTTAAAATCTTTTAAGCGTAATTATATAATATTTTTCTTTTTCTTTTTATATATATATATATTTTTTTTTGCTAAACAGGTGCAAGCAAACACACACCCATAATGTATATAATCAATTGAAAGACGAGTTGAACATTTTTTTTGCTTTACATTTCTTTAATTACTCCATTCATTTCGTTTAGTATTAATTTATAAAATGTTTTCTTCAATAATATTTTCTTAAAATTTTTATGCCGTTTGTTACGTTTCTATGCACACACATGCTATCACCTCTCCACATCAACTCGTTATCTTCTTGCATTACGGATTATTTTCAATAAGGTGTTCATGCATATGTGTATAATATACACGTATACATATATATATATATATATATACATATATATATATATATTTATTTATTTACTCTTCTTTTACATCTCTGCGGGTTTAATAAGAAATTCTTCACTTAATGTCTCTGCGTTTCGTGCACGTTTTTCGTAATTCCTTCAAAATATTCGTGAAATTTTTTTATTTAATTACAATTTCCCTATAAGAAATTCTATCTTTATTCTTCTTATTTTAATTATGCTTATCCGTTGCTTTCACTGTCATAAGCATTGGGAAAATGTAAAAACTGTTTTTTAAAGCATTTTCTGGATTCTCGGTAAAGATACAGTCTCTCTTAGCACACAATTAAATCTCTTTTCAATTTTCTCTTTTTGTTAATGCTCCCCTCTTTTATTTATTTATTTATTTGTTTTTTTGATTGGCCGATGAATTCGTGATTGTTGGTGGTGGTGTGGTAATGCTTAGCTTTTATATTTTTGCTCTCTTCTTACGACGTTTATTTGTTGACAATGTATCCGGTGTTTATTGTTTATTTTCTTTTCTTTTCTCTGACATTTATTATATGTTTGTTTTGATTTGTTATATTCGTTAAGAATTTTTAACGGTATAACTAACTCATTCTTTTTTTTTTTACCCTTTTCTCTTGGTTGGGATGGTGGGGATTAAAAATTAATGCTTCCATTATCATATGCAACGCTTTATTTATATAAAAAAAACAACAGTGTATGGATTTCTTACTATGATTAGCAAGCAATTGTCTGGTTGTTAATGGCTGGCTTTAATGCTATGGCAATAATATTGTGTCATCCATCAAAAAAGTACTTTTTTTCTTTTCTTTTTTTTTTTTTCATATGTAATAAACACTGAACGGTAAAAGATATCAACATGAATTTCGCTTTGTTGTAGACATTAGTTCAGGCCATTTTCATTGAAAAATGCTTTCATGTTAACGATCCCGTTTGGACTTGTGTAAAAATACAATCCTTAAACAACAATTCTTGCCACTTTCCCACACAAAATTTGCTCTTATTATTTGCTCTGCTATAACTCGACTAATGTTGATACATAAGTAAGGAGCATCTTATAATACTTGCATGTGTCCAAACTCCAATAACTTTGAAAACATATTTTTTTGAAGGATTTTAGGTAGAAACCGTTCAAATTGATATAGATTTTGTAAAAAAGTATTAGCAACCGGTGGATAGTTTTTGAATTGTATTTTCAACTTTTCCACAGCCGTTTCAATAAAATTTCATTAGAGAACGCATTGAAAGCGATGGAACACTTTTACAGTAATGTAGGATTATGACCGGATTTTCAGGGAGATGAAAATTTGCGAGAACGACCAGCAAGTATTATTAAATGCATTGACATTGAAAAATGTTTGTAATAATTAGCCGCACTTTTCAACTTCGCATGTTGCGAAATGCTGAACGAGCTTCTAAAAGCCGAGCAGTCAATCAGGTCAACCGATTATATTGTTTTGAAACTCTCGCAACTGTTCGTTGATTGATAGGGATTAACAAAATACATGATTGATCGAGATCGAAAGCGTCATGTAAGCAAATTTCGTATATGTCGTTCTGATGAACAATTCTTTTTCGATACTTCATTTGATAAGAAAATACACAGCAAAGAGAAGCCAGAATATGGTATATGAAATTCGGTGCAAGCTAAACCTACAATGTTCTTCACTTCATTTTTATCACGGATTCAAACCTTTTGTTAAAAATAAAAAAAAATTTTTAAGTATTGAGTACCAAAAACGATTTGCTACACATACGATAATTAACAAGCCAGGAAAAGAAAGAGAGCAATTAAAATAGAGTAAATAAAAAGAGGGATGGTATGCTAATCTGAGAGATACCGTAGGGAGAGAGAGAAAGAGAGAGAGAGAGATAGAGAGAGAGAGAGAGAGAGAGAGAAAACATTGAGTTATCGAGCGAGGGTGAAGAAGAAGAGGAGAAACCTTATTCACTAATTAAACCTGTTTAGTGCATTTTCATTTAAAACTCTTTGCCAAATATACAAACAAATAGAAGAGATATACAAATAATAGGTATTCAATAGCGAGGCAAGCATTTGACTTGAAATGTATAGAGAAAACGTGTGCTTGATTTCATTATCAAGTATCCACAATTAAAAGTTTTCTTTACTATCGACTGGCAAGAAAAAACTCTAAGAGAACTTTTCAATAAAATGAAAGAAATAAAATGAATTGAGCGTCACTCTACGTAAGCACAATACAAAGAGAGCAAAAAAATGAGAAGAAAAACTTATGCGCAAGTTTTTATTCATGTCTATCTCTCTTTCTCATTTGTTGTGTTTGTTTATTTGTTATTGTTTGGGTTTAGTACAAAGCTTCAAACATGAACGAATTAAGTTAATGCATCGAGAAGAATATCTTATGGTAAATAAAGAGCGTAAAAAAATATCTTTTAGTCTTTAATTGGAATTCACTTTACTGCCAATGATTGTAAAACGAACCCTGCCTATGTATGTGAATGTGATACTAAAAATTTTATTCTCAGCATTTCTGCGGGGCATCCATCCATACGACAAAAGCAAAGTACATTTTACTCTCAAAAATTGAATTTCATATTCTCAGCGTTTTGGTGTTTGTAAAAGAAAAAAATAATTGTGAACAACGGATGGCGTTATTAGTTGGCATTTTGTTGTTGTCTTGGTAACTTTAAAAATCGGAAATAATTTGAAGATATTTTTTTATTTTTTTTCTTTTGTATGTAAGATGTGAATTTTGTGAATTTTTTGTCGCGATAGCTTGTGCGCTTGTGCAAAATAATATACGTAAAGTTGTCTTACAAAATTTTAAATAAGAATTATATGCATATAACCATAAAATTGAAACGTGATCGGAACGTATAGTATTCTAACAATGGTGCTAAAGAAAAATATTTAGTTTAATGAAAAAAAGAAAGAAAAAAAAAAAAATAAAAAAAAATAAAAAAAAATAAATAAAATAATAATTCTGGAAATAATGAAGAAAATTATTTATTAGCAAAGTTTTATTTTCGGTGTTTTTATTGAAATGTAATAATATATATATATATATATATATATGTATATTTAAGATTATTAGAAAATATATAAAAGAAGAATTTAATCAACATTCGGTAAATTGACGATCAGGTGTAAGCATTTATGCGTATGCCTGTGTATGAATTCATAAATGTTCGTAGGCGTGCATATGTGTGTGTGTGTTTGTCTGCATGATTTTTTTTTTGAAAACATTTCAAGCAACAAGCTCAATGTCTTCTTCGTGGATTTTGAAAGAAGGGAAAAATGAATTTTAAATAATTATTAATAATAGAATTCAAATTTTATGCTATTGGGAAAAAATCAATAAAAACTTTTGCATAATATTTCAAAGCTAAACACAAATAACAAACAATTACAATAGCAACAATAACAATAACAACAACAAGAGCAAATAAATTTAAAACTAGAAAATTGTCGAAAAATGCTTCTTCTCTTGAAATTGTTAGATAATCTTCTAATCTTTCAATTAGTATTTAATGCGATTTACGCGTAATGGATCTGAACTTCACTTTGTGTTGCCAGAGAGCAAAAGAATAAAAAGAAAAACAAACGAAAATTGTTAATGAACAATGAATTATTTTCTGTAAATTATTGGTTATATGGTTAAGTAAATTTTATCGGGCAATCGCTTATGACGCGTATCGTTGTTGTCTACCATTAAAATAATGTTTCTTTCTTACCTTCTTTTCTATACGTATATATATATATATATATATATATATATATAGCTTTCCACCGAATTTATTTTTGCTTTCGTTTGTTATTCTTGTTGACTATACTTTTTAAGGCTTTTCGATTATATTTCCCTTATGTTCTACACAACTTTTCGTAAAGATGTTGTTGATGTTGTCTTTCCTTAATTTCTTTTGCAGTTAGGTAGGTATGAAGAGTAAGCGTTTGCCCGTGTGCCCGTGTCAATATGTGTGTTTGTGTATACAAGTGTTTGTGTGTGTGATTGTTTCCTCCACTTATACTTGCATGTCGCGCCCTTTTTATTTGCTTTTACCCGAAATGTCGTTGTTGCTCTTTTGGTTTTGGGTTGTCTTGTTTGCTTCAACAGCCGCAGACAATAGCAGACATTTTTTATTTCATTTTGTAATTTCCTTTATAAGATTTTTAAGAGTTGTTGGTACTTGTGTTGTTGCCGCCGCGGTATGCGTTTTCTTTTTTTTTGCGAAATCAGCTTATAATTGTAGTTGCAGTGACGTCTTCCGTCCAGTATTAAGCTATCAACACAATGATTTTCAATATATTATTTGTTGGACAAAGACTTTTCAAAGAGAGGAAACCATTTTTATTATTAATTCAAAGTAAAATGATATCTAAAACAAAGTCAAGATTAATGATAGAATAAAATTCGATGATGGAAAACTGCACCAGTTCGTAGCCATAGTGTAGTAAGCATAATTTTGCATTAGTTTTTGATAGACAGCGATAGAGTCATATTATCATCGCATAAGCAATGTGGCGTATGAGTAACGACAAATTACTACGAAATGAAAATGTCCGCACATACGAAAAGTTTCAGCTTATTTAACGAAAGTCTTGGCTAGATCGATCAGGTCCATTCTCAAGTCGACGATGCGGAAAATTAAAATATCGGCATCTTTTTGGTCACATTTCTCATTCAAAAAATTTCAATGAAGGAGAGCAAAAAACATGTAATCGCATTGCAATCAATCATTAATCAGTCGATTTCGAGATATTATTTTAGTAAAATAATATTTATTACTGTTGTTGCGAATTGGATTACAAAACGCGAACCATATTATATATCGAAAAACTTACTGATTGTCTTTTTAGGTTGCCTTCAAACGGGAAATGTATTCAATAAATTATGGCGAATATAGCTAAGAGAGATTTTCGATAGCGAAAGAATAAGAAATGTATATATACATATATAATTATGTAGCAAAGCTACTTGAATTCCTAATGAAAAACAAAGCCTACTTACACCACCTCCATTAAAATTTGAATCAGTGAACATCGACTTGGCAGTCGCGAGTCTTATCCCATCGGATATGCGGTAGCTTTGATTGATCGATTGATATAGGGGTGACGGGCGAGCGCCATAGAGCAAAATTCCTCAAACAACTTTCACACACACAAAGTTTTGCCATTTTCTTTGCCAATTCTGATTGGATCGATATTGTTCTTGGTTAATGTTAATCTGGCTGCAATTAGAATGAAAAATGTAAGAAAATGTTTGTTACTCTGGATCGTGTTTAGTTTTTATGACTTACACCACTTGTGGTACAAAGGTAAATTAAGTCTGTGCGGATGTATGCAGACTCATCTTTCATTATACCGATCGATTCAGGCAGTGATTTTAAGCTTGTCTGCCCGCGTGTCCGTTTTGATTTTTTTGTTCTATTTATAGGCGGTCATATTCGAGATATTTTACACTGGCGTGTTTTCGTCCAAAAACAAATGTAACTGAAAATGGTTCGGATCGGATCACATTTTGAAAGATCTATTTGTTATAGGCCAAGAGAACGCATTTTCAATGGGCTTTGTTAAATATTTTAGATCTATATATGCTATATAGACTTGTATATAAGTTCCCGATTATAATATTTCCAACTATTGGAAGCGTATGCATACGATTGATAGTCATACTCATTTCAAAACAATGAATCGATATGTTTAAATCAACTCTCTCTTGGTTCATTAATACGAAATTATGAATGTATGTTGCAATCTGAGTCAAAAGTTAACTTTACACGTATGTTGCCACGTATGTGGGTATGAAGCTTGAAGTTGTCGAATATTGTAACAAGTGTAGACTTAGAAAGACATTTTCAGTCTTAACTTTTATGTCAATTTTTGCATTCAAAGGTTGAATTTTTATAAACAACTTGATGAACGTATCTCAAGAAAATGAATTTTTAGTTGGAGTCAGTCTATGTCGCGAAAGCCAATAATTTTTGGATAGGCGAACGGATCTAATAAAAATTTTGAAATATTATATCTCTATCAAGAAAATAGATCTTTTTCAGCGCGAAGTGTGTATTTCCGTCGCTTATCCGAGGAGTGGTAACATGCAGTAAGAATGACTTAAAACAGATTCGCCGTGCATTACATCAATCGATTCAAAATGATTTTCTGAGTCGCTTCAACACTGTACGTCCATCTGTCCGCCTGCTCACATCTCTATGTGACGTTTGCCAATGTATTTTTATGGTCAACCCACAACCTTATCATTCCCTTAAAAAAGTTTTGACGATGAAATCGTCCTTCATCGGGCAATAAAGTCAAGTTTTGCTATTTTGTAGCGAAAATACGTGAAAGATTTGAGCGGCCAAAGCGCTACTGTACTATAATCGTTTAGTTTGTAAGAATATAAATTTTTTGAAGACTTTATATGTTTTTGGGGAAAAACGCTTCAAATTTTAATCTGGAGGCGGAATGTAATTAAAGAGTGAAAACATAATTCCTTTTAGTTTTAAAAATTTATTCAATTTGCACCGATGTTTTGTAAGCTTGCCATACACAACCACTTAGCTCGATCGCTTTTTCTTGTTGCAACATTTCGTGTTGCTTGGTATATATGCACATAATATAGAAGGAGACAGCGTGATTTAGCCACGTTTCTGCTTAGTTGGTTGCATTGTGTGTGTGTGAACTCAAGACGCGCACTTTGAGATATAACGTTGCAACCTATAAATTTTGTCAGGTTGTGTTCTCAAGCTAAGTTGTGCTTACTCGTTGTGCGAGCTCGTAAGTATGTTTAAAATTTTCCTTTTAGTAACTGCCGAAGCAATGACAGACGTCCATCTAAAATTTTCGAAAATATTTATATATCTGGAGTATCGAAAAATTCGATTAATCGGTTAATATTTTTACGATTTTCTTGTGTTTACTTAAAGCGATGCATATGGAATCGCGACGTATAGAATTTCATCTACTTGATGTAAAGACAACAGCGCGATGAGCGATTCATGAAAGTTAACATAAATCATCAATGTGCTAATACCGTGTCCTTACATCGATTTAGTTAACAAATTGCATTAACAAAATTTAGAGGAGACTTCGTTCGCTAAGGGCGCCATCTCTCGTTAACCCTTGTATTTTATAATTCAAAACTTACGTCACTCATTCGATAGATTACGCCATTTTGACGGAGCAAACTAAATATCTAGTTTACCCAATTCGTTCTAACGATAAAGTACTTGTCTCAGAAATGTTCAGCGCATACGGGACACGAGCTTAACCGATATATTCGGTGCATATAAGGGACTTTAGAGGTGTCAGGTACGTGTTTGTCATTGTCAGTTGCGGTGTGGTATGAAAATTAATCAAAATGGATCAATTGTAAATGAAGAACATTGAATAGCTAGCAAACTAAAAAGAAAAATAAATGCATTTTTTTTTTGCTTCTCTTAACACTTAAGTAATTTGAAATCTCCAGCTGTGCAATTTTAGTGTGATCTGATCGTTTTTCTACACCTTGGTATGCGATAAATTAAAAAAAATAGAAAACAGACAATCAAAAAAAAAAAAAAAATTAAAAAAAAATAAATAAATAAAAAAAAATAGAACAAATTCAGAGTTTGTGCATTGTGTATAATGCATTGTGCAGCAACAACAGCAAATAACCGCTAACTGTTTTTTTCTTTTTTATTCTTTTTATTTTTTTTTTTATTTTTGTTTTTTTTTCTTAAATACAAAATTAAAGTAAAATTGCTGTCGTCGTTATCGCTACTTGTCGCTGAGTTTGCTTCAGTGAGCAACTGTTCTTTTCATGTACGGTGTATTTATTGTTTTCGTTTACTGCTTCTCACTCGAACGTTTATATTTTTCATTCATCAGTAAAAGCTTCCGTTGATTAAGAGCAAAACAAAAAGTGTTCGAAAAGTGATACTAACTGATTTTTGTGTGTGTATTACGCGTACGTACTTACATTGTGGGGTGAATAACAACTTTTTCAGTTTCTCTTCTACACCCTTCCTCTTGTTTTCGTTGCGTCTGCATTATGTCTGTGGCTGAATAAATGAAATCATCTCTGGATCTGCTGTACTCATGAATAAGAACAAAAAGGTAAGTAAGTAAGTAAGTAAGTAAGTAAGTAAGTAAATTCGCTTGTGCATGCAATCATATTACAAATATCATGCCTTTTAATATAATTTCATATAGATTGCATTTAGTTTAGTAGAAAAGGGTCTTCCGAAGTAAAGCTGACATTTTCATCTTTTTTTTCTTGTTTTTTTTTTCTCTCTTCTTCTTCTTCTTCTTCTTCTAACATTTTGTATGGGAAAAAAGATAAAGGAGTAGTAGATAGGTCGTCTGTTGTTTTCATTTTCTGAATTATTACATATACAAACATATAAATATGTTGTCATGTTTGGGGGTAACAATTAAGTTTGCATTTGACATCGTGTACGCATATTGAAATGCTCAATAGGAGTTCGGGTTACGAGATCACTTGCGCAACTCAAACTTTTTCAAATATTGATTTTGTGTTTGTTGATATGACGATAGATTGGTTGCCATGCATTTCCCTTCTCAAAGAGTCCTCAATAAGAAAGTTAAGAAAACCCAACAAATTCTAATAGAGGCTATGGAATTCATATTTGGCCAACTTAGACGAAAACTTTATTTGTGGTATCGCCCCCGTTAAGGGTCGTCATCATGATCCCCACAATCACATCTGGGCAAAAAAATGCTAATTAAGTGACGAGAATATTTCCGCTCTATGTGCGATCGAAGTGGTAAGCACACGGACTTATGACTCGATCGTTCATATAAACTTGAGCTGAGTTGTAATATATGTAATCTAGCTATGCCAACAAAAGAGATATGATGATATTACAAGGCTACAAAAATGTAATATATATATATATATATATATATATGTATTACATACATTTTTATTGAATTTTAAAAATAGTTTTTACACTTATCAGAGGAACTAAATTTGTTAATTGTCGAAGACATCGCAAGCTATATACATGAACGAGAAAAGAGATCCTCTCTCTGATATCCCGACCAATTGGCCTGGGAGGTAGCTATTTAGAAAAAGCGGCTGAAAACGAAACACAAACTTTAATTTTTCATACGTGATCGTCCTCTTGTTCATTTTTATCTGCTTTTTAGCTCAAGAAGGATAAAAAAATCATAGATAATATTATAGATGCTACTCGTTTAGAAAGCTTACGCTTGCATAGCTCGTTAAGCTCGTTTTGCTGATGTTATAAAGCCTAAGCAAGTTGCTCCTTAATAATGCCCTTCTGTCCATCTGTTAGACGAACGAATAAGTGATTAAAACCCGTTTTCTAGCTTTTCAGTCTTAGATTTATGTTTAGCAAAAATTGAATATTAATCTTTAAATGTTAAAATAAATAATACTTTTGCTTTGTTATTAGATATATGCTCTTTTCGAGTGCTCATAATCTTAGATGTGTTAATCTGCTAAGTTTGTCACTCTGTGCCCTTTCTGTTATTTTTCTTCTTTTTTGGTAGATGATACTTATATACGTTAGCAAGTGGATAAGTGGGCAGTTGCTTTTTATATGTTGGCTACGTGTTACAGTTATGGAAACATGTATATTCTTTGGTTTTCTTGCCGAAAATCTCATAAAAAGATTTATTTATTTTTTTTCATTTTACATATACATATATATATATATATATATATATATATAGGAGATATGTATGTCAGAATTAGAATAAGCAAATGATGGATGTTAAGAGATGAAGTCTAATCGGATTATAATTTCTTTCTTGTCAGTCTTGTTTTGCCAAGTAACTTAATTAAAAATTAATTGAGTATATATTGGGTAAGCTATTAAACGAAAGAATTTGTATTTGTTGTTCTTTGAGTTGCTGAAAGTACCCCATCTTTATAAAGTTTTAAGGGAGACAAAAATATTGCGCACATAATATATAAGTTGTCTGCCGACAAGGCTATGAATTCACTGAATGAAATGTATATACAAGTAACGATCTCGTGAGGGTAAGAGGTTTTTAAAGCACTTAACATATGCATATAAAAAATATTCATCATCATTGAGTAAATGAAATGAATATAAAAATTATGATTTCGCAAGGAGAGGGCATTTTTTTCAATCATCTCTGATATATATGTGTATACAGAAAATTCTTGCTTAAAGTATTTGCGCATTTTCATTATCCATTATATAAGAATTTCTTCATTCAAAAGTTTATTGCAATTAATCCCATTCTGAATATGATTTGCATTGCAATCAATTCCCGCCTGTTAAAAAAACTCAAACTTGGTTTCAAGTATTGTGGATTCCTGGGTATTACAAATCAAGCGATCTTTGCAAATGTTACAAATTTATATCTTCTTCTTACTACTACTGCTATTATTATAGATAATTATATTAGTGTCGATAAAGAGAAATACAATGTGTTTAACTTGACTGCAAAGAGAAAGTAGTATAGTTTATCAAATCAAAGACCTTGATTTGTGATTACAAAATAAATGAAATAAAAGGAGAAAAGTAAAGTTTTAACAGAAACTAATTTGCATGAATAAATATTGAAAGGAAATTGATTGAATTGAATTGCATTTGAATTTGCTTAAAATACTTACCTGCATGCACACAAACACAAACACACACACACACACACACACACACACACACACACACACATACACTTAAAGAATACATTCCGGTTAAAAGATGTCCACGCCAAGCGATATTATCCTTTGGCTTGATAATCGATAAAACCCCCCGAGTACCAACTCGATGTTCGCAATGTCAAATTTCAGTGCGCCTTGTCAACGCTTACTCGCAGATATAGTGAGTACTGAGTCCGATTAAAGACCGATTGCTTATCTCCACCAAAGCTGTGACTAATACTTTCCGTCTTCTCTCTTTCCCTATTTGCTCCTGACGTACACGGGCAACCTCCCCTGAGTGGTTAGTCACTCGAAAAGGAAAAACCAAAACAAGTGCAACGTCAAATAGTCACTCACCTCTTTGCTGTTTGAAGGATGCAAAGTAGAAAGTTGATGAGTTTCAACCTAGTAATAGTTCGCATCGAATTTCATTAGAAAATTGTTGTACCCTAAGTTTGACGGAGTTTTGAAGATTATATCCAAGAATTGTAGGCGGATAAAAATATCGCTCAGCAATTAATTTATTTCGCCCCTATCAAAATGAAAAATTGTTTTCTTAAACCGTTCATGGTATACCGTGGATGAGGTGATTCGCCTGATAGATTATACCTCTGTTCTGTTCTAAAAGTCTTTGACGAGACGTAAAAGCTTGTTAATTAAGATGGATACTTAATAAATTTGTTATTGATTTTTGTTTTTGTGCCTGATACGGTTGTTCTTCATTCATTTCCTTAATAAATTATGCTTTCTCCTCATGTTAAGTGTGCGTCCTTCCTATGAGAGCTGCTTCGCAGATGGGAAACCAAAAAATTAATTTGAACTAAAATTATTTTTCTTCTCAAGGCATTTATCATTCTTTACCAACTTTCGCCATAAAATACTAAAATTTTGGAAATGGCAAATTTGTTTTGTCTTTGTAATGACTTTTTGCAAATAGGCGACAGGCGATAGGCGATAAGCGATAGGCAAAACGTTTATTGGCGCGTGTTCCGATTTAATTTATTTTCAATCATGTGATCCTTGTGTCTAATCACATCATTGCACCGAATTTGGTAGGAACATCTCATAAACTGTGAGGGACATGCTCAAATCGATTCCGACTATGATTTGCAATTGATCGGTTTGAAGCAAGCCGGGCCTGCTTAAAGGCCTTCTGTGTGTTGTTGAGTATAACAAGGAGTTGATGCAATAACTGCGTTACATAACTTTTTAATCTTTGAGGAAACATTTGTCACTTACCACTAAGATCCATGTGATGACAAATAGGCGCAAGTGTAACTTTGCAGAGAAGAAACTAAAAGCTTTCGCTTTTTCGCTCAGGCATTAGGTTGTGTGGAAAAGAGGAAAAGACGTGTACTAGAAGTCTATTGTGCACACTGTGTGGGCTGTAATTTACATCATGTCATGGCCCATGTCAACCCTCTTAACTAAAGGATAGCTATACTACTCTTCTACTAACTAACCTTCATTTTCTTATTATTCGAGATTAACCACAATTTGATGTAAGCGAGGAAAACCAAATAAAAGGAATCTACTCATAAATCTCTACTCATATGTGCCGGCTTCAATGACATGTCTTTTCTCTATCCATGTAAAATGCCAATGGCGACCATTCTATGGTATATTTATCATGTACATTAAATAGCTCACAGCGATAGGGACGAGGACGTCGAGGCATGACCTAACTGGTACCACATTCAGTCAAGGAGTCCGTAAAGTGTATTATATCCTTAATCAATGCTACACATTCACACGTCTGTTGTTAAGATAGACCAAGAGCAAGGTAGAGAAAGTAAAAAAAAAGTAGAAAAACTGAATTTTACAGACTAAACTTGCAGGCAGTGATAACGCGCCCATACAAATATATATGCAAAGTAGTGGATGTCCTTGATTAGGTTGAGGTTTTCAAAATCTAATCTACGTAACACGTATCCCATAGAGGGCGCAAAAATGAATTTGTTGAAAGCAACAAGGGACTGTGTCCTTTAACCAATGTGAGTGTGGTTTAGTAATTTCCTTAAACTAATCAGTAACCAGTGTTTAATTAACTGTTAATTATTTTTGATTTGTTTGCGATTCGCTTAAGCGCAGCTGATAAATGAAGTTATTGACTATTAGTTAAACTCGTACGGGTTGCCTTATTTGCATAATAATTGCTTTATTTTTTTTTTTTGTTTGCTTGTAGATACTCGACGCTGTAAATAGGTGGAGAGTTTAATTTTTTTTATTTTACTTTTCATGCCCAAGAAGTCTGCTTAAGTATGGTATAAAGTATTTATATTTTCTATTTTTAACTTCATCGCATCCATTGCTTGCAATAGAAGGCATTGACGCGGAGAAATGGAATTCAAGGCACTTGCGTTATGCACAAATTGCAGCAGATTGATATTTACAGCATATTTATTAGATAGATGTTTGTGAAAAAGAGAAGAGCAGGAGAAGAGAATAGAGG